CAAATGGTCCTCATTCTAACAAGTGATCCTTCACCAAGGAACAAACCTTTGTCATCTTAGTTTGGTAAAACTAGATCTCCACTGTAAGTGTGACCAGGGCAGAGACTAGACCATGACCACTCCTAACCTCTCTTCTCCTGGGTCTCATATTACAAGACCCATTAGCTGTCCCTACTTGCTACATTTATATGGGGCCAAATGGTTATTTCCAGTCCTCCCAAGTCTTCTTCCATCATTATGGGCCCCAGTGACAGTCTAATGGGTCCTGGATTCCAGGCAAGGCTTGCAGGGAGGGTCTGTGAACTCCTGGGGTTTGGGACAAAATTGTTGTGTCTGAACAAAGGGACATGTTTCTGGAAAGACAGCATTTCACTTTTATTACATTTTTAATGTAGCCTATGATTTTCAAAATGATAGGCAACGTAACTTTAGTTTGATCAGCACCAAAATGTGTTGAAAATATAGACTCTGGGGCATCTGGGTGGCTCAGTTGGTTGAGCGACCAACTCTTGATTTTGGCTCAGGTCATGATCCCAGGGTCATGGGATTGAGCCCCACATCGGGCTCCTCACTGAGCATGAAGTCTGCTTGGGATTCTCTCTCTCTCTCCCTCTGCCTCTCTCTCTCTCTCTCTCAAAAAAAAAAAAAAAAAAAATATATATATATATATATATATATATATATATATATATATAACTCATATATATTAAGTTTATTTATTTTGAGACAGAGAGAGAGAAAATCCCAAGCAGGCCTCACACTATCAGCACAAAACCAGACACGGGGCTCAATCTCACAAATTGTGAGATCATGACCTGAGCCAAAATCAAGAGTCAGTCACTCAGTTCACTGAGCCACCCAGGTGCCCCTATAGTTATATTTTTTAAAGGCTTTATCTTTTATAGATACACACTGAAACAGTTGTAGATGAAATAATATCTTAGATTTGCTTCAAAATAATCTAGGAGTGAGAGAGGGGAAAGGCATATATGAAATAAGGTTGCCCCATAACCTGGTTAATTGTTGAAGCTGTGTGATGGGTGCATCCCTAATATATATATAATATATATATATAATATTACATATATATTATATATATTATATCTATCTATCTATCTATCTATCTATCTATATATATATATATATAACTATTTTTAAATAGCATTTTGTGTGGCCTGGGTTGGTATGGGCAGGTTTTGAGTAATCCAATTAATGTTAACACATAGTAGAAATATTTAAACTTTTTTCTACAGAAGAGAGAAAAAAAATCTGTATAATTGGTTACAGTTATTTGCTCAGGCATACTACCCACACTGCTGCTCCGACCCTAAGTCAGAGACAAAAGGGATGCCAATGAAATGACATACAGAACAATTCTGACAATTATTTAATATACCATTGATGTGCCATGTCAACCAGTTAGGAGGAAAAGAAATTCATGTTTGATTTAAACTAATTCTTTATGTGCTTCTTAGTTCAGATTAAAAAAAGAAATAGTGCCAACCAGAAATTGACATCTGTTAAAAACAATTCACTATGTGGCAAATCATAAGAGACTCTTAAATACAGAGAACAAACTGAGGGTTGATGGAGGGTAGAGGAGAGGGGAAAGTGGGTGTTGGGAATTGAGGAGGGCACTTGTTGGGATGAGCACTGGGTATTATATATAAGCCGATTTGACAATAAATTATATCAAAAAACCCCACAAAATACAAAATATAAAATTAAATTAAAAATTCACTATGTGATTTTCCAGTGGATATTAGGGAACACTGTTTTGTTTTGTTTTCATTTTATTTCTTTGAGAGAGAGAGAGAGAGAGAGAGAGAGAGAGAGAGAGAGGGAGAGAGAGAGTGAGTGTGTGAGTGGGGAGGAAGAGCAGAAAGAGAGAATCCTAAGCAGGGTCCATGCTCAGCTAGGAGCTCGATGCGGGGCTGGATCCCACAACCCTGGGATCATGACCTGAGCCATGATCTGAGCGGAAATCAAGAGTTGAACGCTCAACTGACTGAGCCACCCAGGTAGCCCACAAGGAAACACTCTTTTAGGACTAGGACTTGAAGAGTATATTAATAACCTCCGTGGGTTATTAATAGGATTTTTTTAGGGTTTATTTATTTATTTATTTTGAGAAAGAGCGAGCATGGGAGAGGCAGGGAGAGAAGGAAAGACAGAATCCCAAGCAGGATCCTTGCTGTCAGCACAGAGCCCAATGCAGGGTTTCAATCCCACCAACTGTGAGATCATGACCTGAGCCCAAATCAAGAGTTGGCTGCTTAACCAACTGAACCACCCAGGTGCCCTAACCTCCATGGGTTATTAAAATTCCAGTCCTAATTTATGACCAAGCATTTCTAAACCAATAAAAATGTTTAGCTGTGGTAGGGAGAAGGGAGGAACCAGTGTACCCTGTAGAGGCTTATATTCTTAGGGAAAAAAGCGTTCCTTCTGGAATCTGTGCTGTAGCAGGTAGGTACTCCTTGGGGTGTGTGTGGGGGGGGGGGGTATGCAGGGAAGGGGGCGTAGTTACTTCTTATCATATAGGCAGCTCCATTCCCAGGGGCTTCTGCCCTCCCCTCCTCCTTCCTTTCCCATATTAGTAAATACTTGGGGGATTAATCAAAGCTTCAAAGGTTGGTGATAACAGGTGGTGACAGTTTGATGCCCTGCAACCCAGGTGAATAGCAGCACAGTGGCCAAGCCTGACTTCATGCCAAACTTACACTTGCACCAGAGACGGCTGCAGAATTGTAGGGCTTATTTTCACTTTTTAAGAAAAGAGAAAAGCAAGTTATTTTCTGGTGTCCAAACTCAGACACGAGACAACAAAGTGGAATGCTGTACCATTTTTTATTTCATGGGCTCTTGCGTGTGTGTGTGTGTGTGTGTGTGTGTGTGTGTGTGTGTGTGTGTGTTTATTAAGTAAGTTCTAAGCCCAACATGGGGCTTAAACTCATGACTGAGATCAAGAGTCACATGCTCCATAGGTAGTCATAGCAAAGAAGAAATTATGTGAAGACATAACATACCTCCGGAAATTGAGGGGAAATTGAGGTTAATTAGCAGAACCACTGAATGACAGCATAGAGAAGGCTCTCAGGGAGCCTACAGTCCAATCTCCTTACCTTATGATGATAGCAAAGCAGACCCAGAGAAGGGGTCTGACTTTTCCCCAAGTATTAGCAAAATAGGAACAGCGTGAGGCTTAGAACTCACTTCTGATTCCCAGAGCAAGAGTCTTCATGCTGGTCTGATAAATATGGCATTCAGGGGCCAAAGCTACAGCTTAACCAGGTTAAGGATGGGGTGGAGCCACCCAAGTAGGCACTGGGAAGAGCTTCAGTGAGGATGGTTGGCATCAACCCGTCTCAGGTACTGCTGACTTTCAACCTCAGGTTGGTTATCTTAGGTGGATGAATTGGCACACAGGTCTTTCTGGTCTGCATTAAGCCTTTTGAGGACTTGCCCAAGTTCAGAAACTTGAAAGTAATCTGTAACATCAAGGCATGGATCGGGCCCAGGCTGTTGTCTCTAGGGTATTCAGAAATTGCTCCCTAAGGCAAGTCAGGAAGAACTTGGATTTGGTCCCAACAGAAACTCTCCTGAAGCTCAGTGGCAGCGTCTGTCAGCTTTGCTCCGAGATCTGCCCATTTGCCCCAGAGATGCTCACTGCTTATGTGGCCTTGTTGAACTGTAACCTCAAACCTAAGAGTGTCTATCAGCATGGACTGGATTCTAGCCACCATAATCAGAGGACTGTGGAGGGAGGTATATTGGCCCCTCACTGCAGGGTGGGAGGGACACCCTCTACTCCATCTCTCCCTGCAACCCCACAAATCTTTGAAAGAAGCTGGACTTCAGAGCCAGCTAGAGGTGTACATGGGACAAAGACATCACAGGTTGTCAGGGTGCTCTCTTATTCTCTAGGAACCTGATCCCTGCAAGGATGGGGCACCCTTAAACAATCATGAGGACAGGGGAGACAGCAAAGCAAATAAGGGCAAATTACAGCTGGGTAGAGACGCATCAACCTCTGAAAACAGGACGGAGGGAGCCCCAAAGCATTCAGCCAGTTCCAAAAATCTGTGTGGGGTGGGCACAGGATTCACACATTCACCCTACCTTCCCCATTGCTAGCTGGCCAGGGAAGTCAGACTGTCCTCCAGAGCTCAGATTGTGGGGCTTGGGGCCTGGGCAAGGGCAGGAACTTACAGCTTCATTCACTGCTTCTGTCTTCCCTAAATAATCTCAGCCCGCAGCACCCCAAGACCTCCAGGGGCAGAGGCCACAATTCTTGCTGTCACCTGAAACGCCATCCCCAGCCTGCCCAGCCTCCTTGCTCCTTCCCCAGCTGCAAGAACTTTCCTTCCTCCCAAAGCGACTTTGCATCAGATCTGCAGGCTAAGAGACCGGCCCCAGCGCGCCTGGCGCACGGGTGCGGCCGAGTCGTGCTGGGACAGCTCCACGCTGCCGCCTGGGCCGCCTCGGGCCATTACAATTGCAGACCAGGCTGGGAAAGGAGAGAGGCTGACCCCTCCGAGGGCCAGCAGGGAAGCACCAGACTTTGGGTGAGGGGCAGTCAGGACTAGGGAATCGATCTGGCTGGGGAATGAATGAATGAGTAAATGAATAAACGAACACACGAATGAATGAATAGCTACGGTGTCGGAGACGCGGTAAGAGGCGTCCCAAGGAGGGTGCCTTCCACCATCCTGATGCCGCCGGGACTTCGCTCATCCGGGACTTCGCTCATCACGGAGCGCAGACAGCAGGGCCATCTGTCCCCTAGCCAACACCTCGCAGCCCCCCGGAGGCGCCCGGGCCCGCGCAGCGCAGCTCGGGAGCGGAGCCCAAATTCCGGTGGCCGGGAAGTGCCTGCCCCGCGGGAAGAAGGCACCCAGGCGCAGGGGCTCCCCACGGCCGCTTCGCCCCGCGGGGAAGCGTTCCCTCGCGGCGGTCCCCGGAGCCCCGAGCCCAGCACGCTGGCCGCAGCCCCTTACCTGCCCGCCTCGGCGGCCTCACCCCGTCTCAGAGCGGTCATCGCGGCGCCTCCAGCGAGCGCCGGGGACCGCGCGGCCAGATCCGGCGCCTGCCTGCCCGCCTCCGCCCCGAGGGCCCGCCTCCGCCCGCCCATTGGCTGTTGGGCGGGACCGCCCCGCCCATTGGCCGTTACTCCCTCCTGAACGCCGCGAGCTTTGCGCAGATTCTAAGGCTCCCACTTCCCGACCGGCAAGTCTCGGTGGCCAGGCCTCGGTTTGCACCTTCTGCTCCTCAGAGCGCAGGCCTTGGGTCCCCTCCAGGCTCGTCCTCTTCAGCCCTACCCGTCTCGGAGCTCGGTGCCCTCTGCAACCTCCTCCCGACCTCCTCCAAACCCTCCCGACTCTGAGCTCCAGGGCAGGTTTCAGCGTCTCCCCACAGCAGCTAAGGGACAGGAGTAGGGAACGAGGTATTTTGAACTGTTTGAACGGCATAGTCGGGCAGTCAGGGAGCTTTCATGCTTTTCCCAGAGTTGGGTCCTACGGAGGGACTGAAGATGGCCAGAAATCAAGTGGGGAAGCAAGACAGAGTGGGGCGATGTGACAGTTACCTGGGCCTTGGGAATGGGGCCAAAGCCCTATTCCATCTTACCTGGCCTGCAGCACCCTTCCCTCCTCCCACTAGGTAGGGCTTAGTTCTTAGAAGTGGTCTGGAGGGGTAAGATTCAGTCCCATTTCCAAACCCGTCTCCACCCCTCGGTGCTTTGTCAAGGGGGTAAGACATTGGCAAACAGAAGGGGACAAAGGGAACCCAGAGGTAAATATTCTGGAAACTGGGAGCCGTAGCTGGTGTCTTCCTATAGTACCCTTACATTAGAGGCCTCTGCTGCACAAGACATAAGGGGAGGTGCAGGGGAATGGCCACATCACTCAGTTTACCCACCAGAGCAGGAGGGAGGGGCCCTTGTTGCTGCCCTCTCCTCTTTGGTCCAAATAAGCCAATAAAATGTCCTCAGCTGCAGTTTTTAGAAACCCAGCTACCACCACTTCCTCAGGGTGCCTGAGGATAAGGGGTAACCTGTATCCTCGACAGCTATTGCCTTCCCGGCACCTCTGCATCCTGCAGAGAAGATGGCAGGTGACCTGGGTCATCACACAGGAGCAACCATCAGGGCGCAAGGCCCTTACCATTTTCACCCTCAGAGGACAGGGTTCACCACCACACACACACACTTCCCCCCCCCCCCCCACCCATCAGAAAAGAGAGGAAACCGGTACTTCAGCTGTTGTTTATTGACAGGTAGGCTCTATAGCAATAGGCTGGGAGGTGGCTGCAGTAGTGGGGAAAATGGAGGGTGGGGGGCGTGTTTGCCTGCAACAGCTGAGTGGAGTGTAGGAACACAAGTGCACAATGCACGACAAGGGGAGCCTGAGGGGGATGGGGGAGCAAGGAAGGGCCCGGGCCAGTCTCCTTAAACTGGAACCACTGCCCTATGCCACAACTCTTGCTGGCGGTCTCTCAATGCCAGGCCAGGGGTGGGAGTTGTCTGGGTATCCATTTTCTATAGGAACTGAATGGAATACACAAAAAGGAGATGCAGGAGCGGTTGCCCTCTGTTAAGCTCTGGGGCTTCCAGTCCTGCAATCTCCCTTCATCCCTGGCTTGGGGGGGGTCACATGATGTGCAACCCAGCTCTGGGTTACCTCACCGGAACAGGGTCTTAAAAAAAGTCAGGTTTCAGAGGCATTAATCTTCTTCCCTAGTATCCCAGCCCACCAGTGCCACACTACAACCCCCAAGTGAGCACTACAAGCATTGCTGGCCTAATGGATGGGTTGGGGGAAGGGGATGGGACGGGGCTGGAGAAGGGGCTCTTGGGGCCTGTCATGGCACAGGCACTACACGCATGGTATTGGTGAAGCCGGAGCCAGGGCGCCACCCGGTCAGCACAATGACCACATCTCCCTTCTTGAAGAAGCCTCGGGCCTTGCCTAAAGGAAGAGAAGAAAGGTTGGTGAGTAAAAGCCAAGCCAGGCAGATGTGCACCTGGTTGACTGCCCCACAGCCGGAGGGAGCAAGCAGGGCTGGCTCACCATTACTTCCTTACACCACAAGGTGGCGCAAGCATCACAGCCCAGGCAAAGGGGATGCATGAGGGAGGCCCAGATATTTCCTTATCAATCAAAGAGAGTTGGCAGGGACCTTTGGACATCACTCATTTTATACTCTAGAGGGTGGAGAGCCTTCCCCAAAGTCAGAGCTAGTTGCTTCCGCTCATCCATTGACATCTTACTTTTATCAGGGACAAAGGTCATGAGTACATAATCTGTGTGTATGACACCCAGCAGTGTTTGAGCTCTAATTTTTTTTTAGCCCTCAGTAATAAGCAGATGCCAAAGAGCAGACAACCCTATCCAGGATCCTTTGCTTTGGGCCCCACGCTGGAAGACAGTGAGAGGCAGTGGGCAACTGAGCCCCAAAACTCAAAAGGCTCCTCTTCCCTCCTGGGCTCAGCCCAGAACTTGAGGGAATGGGATGGAGGGTTCAGAAAACATTCCCAAGAAGACAGCTAGGGCTCTTGCACACCCTAAGGTCAGCATGTTCCCCTTTCTGTAGGATCCCAGGGACACCAGCGCTCAAGCATCCTCCCCACCCCTCCAAGCTCTAGCCCTTGCTCCCAGCCACGCACCAACATTCATGGCCAAGTTCACCCGGAGGTCCACATCCTCAGCCCAGGCCTCCTGCACTGGGTCCTTACACACCACAGGGAAGATGCCGCGGTACAGGTGGGCCTGGCGGGCAGTCTGGTGATTCCGAGTCACAGCAATGATGGGGGCGCGGGGGCGGTATCTGGCCACCTGGTGAGCAGACCTGAGACAGGATGATGGACGGGCAAGAGAGACCATTAAACAGTGTTCCGGGAGCCTCCCAGGAAGCCCTGGAGAGCCTTCAGCAACAGCTCACCCTCTAATCCAACTCACTATTGCCAGCCTGTGACCCTACCATTTTAGCATCTGCTCCCAAAGCCGGGGCAGACCCTCATCCTGTATCTTCCACAGCATGTACTACGCTTCTTCTACTACGACATCTCTAGCTTTGCTACCCACTTGCCTTCCTCGGGCCCCAGGGCCATACCAGCCCAGCATGGTCAGTCTCACCCTATCACCCGAATGCCCCATAGCTGGCAGAACCCCCTCCTCTGAACTTTTCCATTCTGGCACAGATACAGCCCTGCCCAACCTCACCAGCACCCATTCCCTCTCGCTGCCAACAACAGCTATAAGCCAAGCAGCATGTGAATAGCACCTGACTCTTGACATCTGCAAAGAACAGGAGCAGAGCCCACCATCCCCCCTGGGACTCTGCAACATAAGCCTTCCCTACTGCTGTGCCCTTTCCCCAGCCCACATGGCCCCCAAGTCCCTGAAACAGTCCCAGCAACTGGGCTCTAGAGCCAACCCTGAGTATGTAAGCAAGGCTTAGAAATCTGGGTGTTACCCAGGAGGCAAGACCAAGAGATGGGAAGGTTAGTGCCAGTGGGTCTGCCTGTGAAGGCTATGGAGGGTTGGGGGGCCCCCTGAGCCCTGGGACCAGGTGCTTCCTGGAACACGGACACTGCACACTTGGGTTGCAGATGTCTCTCAGGAGTTGAGGTGGGCCTGCTTGCAGGAGGCACTGGGCCTCAGAGGGCAAACTGTAAGGACACTCAACAGGTGTCCAGGAAATTTAAGCCATGTCACAGCAGAGAATGCCCTGCTAAAGACCTGGCCCCCATACAAGGCTTTCAGAGGAGCAAGTGCTGAAGTCGGGACTAGTAAGGGTGAAATCCCAGAAGACTGGAGCTAAAAATAGCCAAATAGCAAAGGATGGACCTTTTCACAAAGGTCAACCCTAATGGTTGGTGCTGTTTATCCCAAGCCCTCTGCCGAGGGAGTCTGCACAGATCTCATGTCCTGCTTCTACAGAAAACCCCACCTGCCACTCCTCAGTGCACGGAGACCGCCTGATCTGCTCCCCTGCCCCCCCCCCCCCAAAAAACCCTCGTGGCCCTAGGGTCAGGGATGGGGAGCACACTCCCAGACTGGGGCAGTGACACAGGCTAATTCAATCTCCCGGACTAGGAAAAGATCCCAAGGCCAAGGCCAAACACAGGCCTCTTCAGGGCTGCACGGCACCAGAGAGCCAGCAAGACATCACGGTGACCTTTCCTGGTGCTGAACCCATTTGCCTTTGGGGCTCAAAGACCGACAGGGACAGGTGCACCAACCAAACAGCATGTCAGCGAACAGCACTAATTTTCCAAACTGACCTTTTAAAGAGTATACAGTAATTGGAATGAACAAAATGGCCATCTACTTTTTTAAAAGATCAGCTTTTAGATATGAAAGAACCACTTGTAGTTGGTCTATCTGTAGTTCTATGATTAAGTCTCTGGTTTCTCTGGAGGAGGTAAACTTGCTTTGGATCCAAATGATCCAACGCCACTTAGGGCTGCCTGGAATCCTCTGGGCCCTGGTGGCAGGCAGAGGGGTCTTACCTTGGCTCAGTGCCATCTGAGCCCTGTTCAATGCGCTGCTCTCAGGACACCCAAGAGAGGTGTCCCCGAGCAGGGCATCCCCAGGGCACCGCCACCACCTCCTACCTGCCAGACTTGGTGAGGACGATTATGGCCCCACTGCAGCACTTGAACGAGGCCTCCACGGCGCCCACGGCGGCGGCTTCGGTGGGGTCGCTGGTAATGGGCGCCAGGCGGCGGAGTTCCTCAAATAATTGCAAGTGGTAGATGGCAGCCTCTGCCTCACGGGCAATCTAGGGGAGCAACATCCGTCCAGAGGGACGAGAGGGGGACAGAGCTTTGTCAGAGCTGTGTCACAACGGGAGAGGGTGAGGAAGAGTCGCACAGACAGCTGGTGAGGAACGTGTCCCTGGATGCATGGCCAAGAGGAGCCCAACTACTAGAGATGCTGAGCCGAGTGACATCAAGACTCACAGGAACTAGTCCTTCACCAGGTGCCTGTGACATCCACTGTGCCTACTGAGCCAAAGGACCCTTTGATCCTGCCCTGCCCTGACCTCCCTGGCTGGCTTCCTGCAGACGAGAAGAGGGCTGGGCCCTAGCGGTCTTCCAGATCGGCTGGAGCGAGAGGCTGGTTATCCTACAGAGTTACCTGCCCTTGGGGCCCTACCTGCCAGACTCCGTCAGAACTATCAAAGCTGCTGCTAAACACTTATAAGAAGCCTCCACGCTGCCCATGGCCATGGCTTCCATGAGGTCTGTGGAGTGGCTTGAGCCTCGCACAAGTTCTTCAAACAGCTTGCGGTGGAACATGGCTGCCTCAGCCTCACGAGCTATCTGTAAGGTTTAGGAGGGGAGGAGAGGCAAGGAAGAGGGAAGGAGGAGGGAAAAAAACGAGAGACAACACATGGAAAGACAGAATGGGGAATTAATCAGAGGAAGGTAACCTTAGGTTAATTGGCTAAATCTGTCCTTCAGGCAGACGCCAAGAGGCAGCATGATGAAAGCCCAACTGCTCAGGGATGGGTGGAGAATTTCTAGCACCAATTGCTGCTGCTTCCCCTCCAAGAGAGGAAAAATCGGTTCTTCCATTCTGGAAGGATTTGTTCAGTGGGCGTGGGGGTAGAGAGAGACAACATGGCGGCAGGCTCTAGCACCTCGGCACAGAAACATGCCCAGGCTAGGCCAACGCCACTCCCTGGCAGGACTTGACCATGCTGCCTCATGACACAGCTTATGGGAAGAAACAGGCCCTCCCTCCTCACATGGCTGTCTGGTTACCACAAGGCTCCTCCATGGGCTTCCATGCACACACGGAGCATTTGCTTGGCTTCAGGCACAGGGCTGCTGCTATGAGCCTTTCCAAATGCCCTGCATGCTGAACACCGTGGGAAAGCTGGGGTCAGACAGAGCCAAAGCCACACAGCTTCACCGTGTTCCAAGCACGAAGGTGGAGAAATGGCAGATTTGTGAGGGTCACACTGAACAGCCATGTGAAGAGACAGATGGCCTGTGGAAGCACACAGGTAAGTTTAAGATGACATTTGATTATTAACACATAAGGATTACCACAGTTATGAGAAAGCCATTCAGTTATTCACAGACCACCTGCTCAGATAACATCAAAAATTAGAAAATTTAAGCTTCAGAAGATTATAATGCAACCAGCAGCATCTTAGAGAATGATGTGGGAGGGGAGAATCAGTAATAACATCTCATTAATTGGACAGTATGTATAAGCAGGCATGTGGCAGGATTTACTAGGTTACAGGTTTTATTTCTCTGAGAATTGGGTGCATGCAGCCCAAAGACGAGGAGACATGAACAGGAAACAGAACCATACCTGGTACTGCCTAGCCCTTAGTCATGGGTCATTCATTGCCTCAGACACAAGAGAAAGCAGTGAGCAGCTGCAAGAAGCTATTAGCCAGTGTTAACTGAGGACATGGAAAGGAGAAGCCTGCACCACCTAGCCCAGACCCCATAACTCATCTTCTGAGCAGTGCCATCCAAGCCCTGTGGTTCCCTCTAAGGTGTCTGTCTGTTCACAGGGAAGACTGGGGGTATGGAAAAGCAGAACTGGAATTCAGAGGCCAGAGCCTGATTTTTAGCCTCTGCCCCCAATACAGGCCCCTAATGGAGACATGGCTTTATCTCCTGCTAGATAAAGCACTGCAATGCAGGAGAACACTGGCTCTGGAGACAGCAGATCTGGATACAAACTGAGGCTTTATCATCATGTAATCCTCATCTATCAGCTGGGCTGACATCTATCACACAGAGGATATGAAGACTCCATCAATCTGTACTACCTAATAACTACACACACAGGAAAGGAGGAAAGGAAGGTTTTTTGGAGGGGGTGTTGCTTAAATTTGGTGCAGGGGAGGGTGTGTCACACAAAGGGCATGAGGATCCTTTGCTGACAGGAAGGTTAAAAAAAAAACCCACTTCAGAATTAGAGGCAAGTTCGCTGAGCTCCACACACATCATGAGCACTGACGTGGGGCTGTTGTTGAGAAAGTGAACCTACAGCACTCAGTTCTCCCTGGCCTGAGGAGCCCTGGTAACTGAAGCCTGGGCGGACTCTTGAGCAAGTCTAGAGCTGGACCAGACAAGGCAGAGGAACGGAGAAGCAGCCCAGCAGCGGGTCACGGCCGAGCCAAAGAGCCTTGAAGAGCTAGCTCAAAGAAGAGCCGCATCCAGGACTCCTCCGGATGCTCGATGCAGGCCCAGCAGGCCCAGCCCTCCTCCTGCCTCTATTTGTGGACCTGCTGCCAGTCACTAAACCCCACATTTTAGCCTGAGACATGTGCAGCAGCTCAGCAAAGCAGGCCCGGCTGCAGGCGCCATGCAAGGAGAGCTCGGTCACCACCCCCAAGCACACCCGGGGCCCCGGGGGTGGGGAGGGGGTGGCACCTGATGTGGAACAGGTGGGGAATCAAATGGACCCCAAACAGATCGGCTGAGAACAGGAGCCTATGGCTTTTTCCAGAATGGGACAGAGATACTCAGGGGTCCTTCGGGCTGTCCAGAGGAAAACTACAAGTAATCTTAGTACTTGAACCAAGGGATGGACTCACAGCCTTGAAGCCAGAAGTGAAGTGCGCTCTAATGGAGGACGCCTCCAGAGCAAAGAGGAGGGAGTGTGAGCAGGGAAGGCAGAGGAGGAAAAAACCCAACATACCCCTCTCCCCAGCACACACCTCACTCTTATTGTGACTTATAGAGGATCATCAAAGACTGAGGGCCCAGACGCCTAAAAGGTGTCACTCTGTACCAGAGCTTGCCTCCACCCTGGGCCCGGCCTGAGCCCGCGGAGATGGGGAGACTCGAAAACTCACCAGGTGCTGCATGCGAACAGCCTCCAGGGGGTAGTCCCCTTTGGCGGTCTCTCCAGAAAGCATGATACAGTCGGCTCCATCCAAGACTGCATTGGCCACATCACTGCCCTCAGCCCTGGTGGGACGGGGCTTCTTGATCATGCTCTCCAGCATCTGGGAGGGGGACAGGGCATGAGTGAGATGCAGCCTCGGCAGCCTTCAGAGATGAAGGTCTACCAGCTAACCCCCTGGATACGTGTCTGCACATGAGGGGAAGGAAGGGTGTGTGTGTGTTTGAGAGACATGGGGCAGGCCCTGGGGAGAGCCCAGGTGGCCTCCCCGTAAGCGTATGAGTGCAGGGAGAGGCACATGCCTGCGTCGCACAGATGACAGGCTTCCCAGCTCGGTTGCACCTCCCAATCATCATCTTCTGAGCAAGGAAGACCTTCTCTGCAGGAATCTCAATGCCTAGATCACCACGAGCCACCATGATCCCATCGCTGGCTTCCAGGATTTCATCAAACCTGACAGAGAGGTTAGGAAGAGAGAGAGGTTACATGGAACAAGGCCACAACTGCATTAATTACTGCACACAGGAAGTTCTCCTGGGTTCTATGACCTCATCACGAGTATAAAGATGCGACGGGGTGTTCCAGCTACCTTAGCCGCCCCCCAAAGTAGGCTAACACTTGCCCTGGCTTCTTCAGCACTAGCATGAGAACTTCACTGAAGGGGCAGGGAGGAGAGCAAGGTTTCCTCCAAAGCCCTGTAGGCTCATTTCCTCTCCATCTGCACCTCAAGGCCCCCTCTTAAGGCATCTCTCTACCGTCTCCACTCTAGCTAGCACTTCCAAGGCAGAAAGAGAACCCGAGGCCAACTGACTGCTCACGACATAAAGGTCCTTGGCCAGAAGGGCTGCTCCTTGAGGTGGCCCCCTCCCAACGTGCTGAAGGCAAGAATAGCTGTGGCTCTGCCTGGTCTGTGGCCAGGGTCAGCGAGCACCCATGGCTCATCAGGATGGCCGGATCCCAGTACAAAGGACGTCTATGCAAAGTTAAGGATGGCAAGGTCAAACAGTGGGCGGGGCTGCTCCACCCACCCTCCCCAAGTACATGCCTAATCCACACAAGTAGGTCTGGGGTTTTAGCTGTGCCAGCTTATGTTCCTAGCAGGGAGCTGGAGAGGAAGAGAGGTCACGGAGCTGGTCATACCCACTCGGCTCAACCTGGGGAATACTGGGGAGGTGGTGAAATGGAGCTGGGACCATCTAATACACCTGGAGAGGCACATGCTTTCCTCCAGGAAGCTGGTAACATTCCAGAGCCCAAACATCAGGCCAGCTGCTTTCTAAGCGAAGATAAGGACACCACGAGCTTCCACATGCCTCCCAAGTGAGGGGCTAAAAAGGGCCCCTTCCTAAGGGCCTGCTATCTTCCTTCTGTTGTGAAAAAATGGTGGTGTAGGTGGGGGGGTGGGGGGGCAATATCCCCTTATTCTGGCAAACATAGGTAGTGCTCCTTATTAGGAGGACAGCATAATGGCCCTCGACCTGTGAGCAGTGACCCTGTCCACTCCCAACGCTGGTCCCTGGGACTGTGGAACAGTATCAATCACCACTGGGAAGCACCAGCATGCCCATCACCTGGGAAGATATATATGTATTTTTTTTTTTAAATACCAATGCCTTCGGGCACCTTTGGACTCAGTCCGAAGAGCCGTGCGACTCTTGGTCTCAGGGTTGTGGGTTGGAGCCCCAAGCTGGGTGTAGAGACTGTATACATACATGCATGAATAAAAATAACCAATGCCTTTCATTCTCCCCGCTTAAGAGGGACTCCATGGGTCTGGCCTAAGCTAGGGAGTCTGCATTCTGATAGGCTGGTCACCAGGTTTGGGAACTGGATATTCACAGGATATAGCCTTTTTGGAAAGTGCGGGGGGCCCGCCCCGGCACTGACCTCCGAACTCCCTCATGATTCTCGATTTTGCTGATTATCTTGATGTTCTTTCCTTTTTCTCCCAGGACCTTTCTAACTTCATGGACATCAGATGCCTTGCGGATGAAAGATGCAAACACCATATCTACATCCTGCTCTACCCCAAATTTCAGATCCTGGATGTCCTTTTCTGACACAGCAGGCAAGTCCACAGCAGCCCCAGGAAGGTTCACACCCTTCTTGCTCCCCAGGGAGCCACCATTCTCCACCTCTGTCACCAGGAAGTCAGCACCTGTGTAAAACAGAGTGGGGGGGGGGGAGGGGCAGAGCAATGGGGGCACAACACCCTCAACAGGAAGCAGGCTCTCCCCAGTATAGCGAACTGAAAGCAGTACATTGTGGGCACTGGAGCCCTATGTCCAGAAGTCAAATACCACCTCACTAATTGTATACTCTTGGGCAAGTCAACTAACCTCTCTGTGCCTCAGTTTCCTCACCTGTTATATAGGGATAATAGTATCTGATACTCGTAAGACCGTTTTAAAATTTACACAAATTATCGTGTAAAATGCTTAGGACCAGTGCCGGACACTTAAATATCACCTATCATCCCCAAGTATACTAGAGTCCTGCACATATCATATTGACGGAAGACAGAAAGCAGAAAGGCTTTTTAACAGTGAGGATGGATTAAAAAAAAACTCTCGTATCTCCTAAAAGCACGATTAAGTTGAAGTCTGTTTTAAAATTTTTTTTTTTTTCAACTTTTTATTTATTTTTGGGACAGAGAGAGACAGAGCATGAACGGGGGAGGGGCAGAGAGAGAGGGAGACACAGAATCGGAAACAGGCTCCAGGCTCCGAGCCATCAGCCCAGAGCCCGACGCGGGGCTCGAACTCACGGACCGTGAGATCGTGACCTGGCTGAAGTCGGAGGCTTAACCGACTGCGCCACCCAGGCGCCCCTGAAGTCTGTTTTAAAAAACAACATAAGGAATTATAGAGGAACCTGGGTGGCTCAGCCGATTAAGCGTCCAACTTTGGCTCAGGTGGTGATGATCTCATGGTTTGTGAGTTCAAGCCCTGCATCGGGCTCTGACAGCATGGAGCCTGCTTGGGTTCTGTCTGTCTGCCCCTCCCCCACTTGCTCTCTCTCACAAAATAAATACCTTAGGAAAAAAAAAAGAGGAATTCCTGAGAATAGACTTAATCTTGCTGTCAGCCAAACAAACTTCCCATGTTTCTTGTGTTAAAGGAAATTTAAAGAATGGGAGATGGTTTTAGACAACGAGATGCTGACTCCAGTACCTTTCTCCTTCACCAACAGAGAGATAAGCCCATCGTCCACGTAGACCTTGCTGCCCACTTCCACCACCTTGCAAATGTTCTTGTAGTCCAGCCACAGGACCTTCTCATCACATTTTTCCATGTAGGCATTGTCCAAGGTGATCTTGAGAGTGGCTCCTTTCTTCAGCTCCACCTCTGCGGTGCCACTCTACAGACAAAACAGTTTACTGCCATGAGTCCAGCCCTCATGGCAGGAAAAGAAAAGTTCTTTCCTCCTGGGAAAAACGCTCAAATCTCAGCCAGAAGTACAATAAAGCGTCTGGCTTTGGGAATAAATGATCTTCTTCTCAAACTTATCTCAAAGAAGTCATCCAGGAAAAACCTACAACGTTTTAGTCACACTATTTAATGACAGGGGAAAAGGGATGAAGAGAGGCTTGGAACTAGGTTTTTAGAGTAAAAAAGCTTCCTCTCTGGTATCATTTCTTAGCAAAGTACATCAAATCAACATCGTTTACAGTGATGAATAGAACTCTCCTTTCTAGATCTAAACTAAGGAACATGGCCTCCGAGCAGGGCACAGACATGGCCCTCCAGAGCCCACCGCCCCCTGTACCTTCCCTGTCCCCACTCCCGGTGATACTTACGCCCTTGATGAGCCCAGTTCGGATCTCAGGTCCTTTGGTGTCCAGGGCCACAGCAACTGGCCGGTAACGAATGGGGTCAGAAGCAAAGCTTTCCGTGGCTGCACGCACATTCTTGATGGTCTCAGCATGGTACTGGGGGTAAGGAAGGAGAATGATGGGTGTCCTCCCACATGAGGAGCTAGCCCCAGAACTGAAGTTGATCCCTCAAGGAAAAGCCTTGGATGTTCCACACCCCTGCCTTCTTTGGCTAGCCTCAGTGTCATCCATTCACTGAGCACCCTCAACCTTATCTCAATCCCCTTGGTTTCTGCCCACTTCTTCCATAGCACTAACTCGCTCATGGGCAAATCTTAGTTTAGAACACTGCCACCAAAATCCACTACAGGTATGGTGTAAACACATCTCAACATAAAAAGAAGCGTGTCTTATTTTCTCTAGGACCTAGGAATTACTCTCCCTCGGCAAATAAAACAGGCAACTGAAATAAAAGACCTTGCACTTATGTGTGCACAGTGCTGGTCCGGCAATCAGTGTCAGATTCTGATAGATTTGGCAATTCTGAGCTTTTTCCTCTACTGATTCCAAGTACAATTCAAACTCCAGAGTTACTTACTTAAGCTTACAATGGCCAAGCTACACAACTCATTGCTAAGGTCCAGCAGACCTGGTTTTTACAATCACTTTCTGGAGCAGTCTAGGGAAAGTTGGGAATACGCCTCTCTCTGAACTAAATGCCCTGGCTTCCATCTTTTCCCTAAGCCCTTTCTTTTTTCCAATTGTTGCTACCATCTGACTAGAAGGAGACTCAAAGCCAAGATGTCAAAAGTGCTTAGTATAATCAACAGGACACTGCTGATAACAGAAGCACCCAATTCAGCACTTTGCAGGCCCTGTCCTTCAGCCACCCGGTCCAGGAGAGTAGCACCCACAAGGAGGCTGGAGGGGAGCCGGAACAAGGACAGTGCTGCCAGAAGCTTGTGTCTGAAAATCTTCAGCTTCTAATTATGCTATCTAATGAGGACCAATGGCTGTTTTCTGGGGGCAGAGGCCCTTATCCTAAGTTATAAAAATTTCTTTTTATTGCTGACTCACAATAAAAACAATAGAGAATAGAATATAGAGATAACTTTTCAAAGAAATGGGTGTGTTTCATATAGTCAAATCCCTTTCCCTCGGAGCTGATGTGAGGCGTAAAAGAATCCATGAAGTATTTAGAACAGAGATGAACAACAGTAATTACTTAATAATTGTTACCTAGCATTACCATCATCTTCTATTGACCATTCTATTTCATCCAATATGCACTTTGTGTTTGGTCATGAGGCAGGGCATTCTTTTAGTAGACAACTGGATTTGGCTGTGAAGTTTTATTTGTGCTTTCTGCCTCTAAGGGAACAAGCCTCGTGTGCTAACCTGTCTGGTTCGGGTACTGTCCTTGGCTCATCTTACTGTCAGGGTGTGCTGATTTCAAAGAACATACTGGGAAGACTTCTGTACTTCTCTAGGCTCTGGGACAGTGTGACAGAGGATCTAACTGCTCCTTCAAGGCAGTCAGAAGGAAGTCATCAAAGTCATTTAGGCCTGGTGTTCTGAACCAGAGCTAGAGCTAATGGCCACATTTTCAATTTCTTCAGGCTGTTCATCTATTTATATTTTCTACATCTTGGATATTACCTTTTCTTGGAAAAGAGTCAAGTTCATCTCAATGTATAGAAATTAAAGAAGTCTTTTTATGACTTTCAAACTCTCTTCTAATACATAGGAAATATTCCCTTCTCCTACTCTTTTTTTTTTTGTGTGTGTGCATCCTGATTCTTGACCAGGTTTTCCAGAAGTTTCTGTGCTACAGAGGTGTTTTGGTTTGTCAAATTTAGTTTTTATTTCATGAAGTTATGCTTTTAAATCAATGCTTTCCCTTCACCCCTTTTAGATTATTTGGTTACTAGTATTTTAACTATTTCATTTACTTTCATTAGGACTTTTGTTTTCTGGTAAGTACATTTAAGTCTGTGTTAAGACTTAAAGTTTCCACAAAAAAATATGCCAGAGGATATGGCCTATATAATTTCCATTTTATGGAACTTGAGGGGTGGGTTTTGGTGGCCTAATAAATTTTAAAATCCTAAGCATTTTAAATAAATATGTGTTTTGGTCTTGAGTGGACATAAAGTCATCTATTTATATACATACCAATAAGATTATTAGGTCTTCTATTATTAGGTCTTATATATCTAGAGTTATCTTTTGGTACACTGCTGGAAGGTGTACTGAAGTCTTCCGCTAGGGCTGTGGTTTTGCTGGATGTTAACAAGTGGTAAAGAAGTCCATCAGTTAATACTGTCCTTGTGGAAGATTCTAAATTTAGGTTGTTTAAAAGACAGTATCACTGGGACCACATGTTCAGTAAGAACACATCTTGCCCAGGTGAACTGCTAACCAAGTGGGGTTAGGGAGACTGGCAAAAAGATAAGATGCAGATAGTAGATGGCCCTCTGTTAGAGGGAGAGAAAACAATTTCAATGTTCTGTTAAAAGAGTACTTAAAAACTGTCAAGAGCTGGGAAAGCATGCTATAGCATCTAGTCAAACTTGCATGTGAAGTAAGAGCTTTGACATGCAGTCAAAACTAAAACTGTTTATGTTACATTATGTAATATTAAATTATATAAATATATATAATATTAGAACAATTTCAGATGAGCCAAAACCCTGATCCCAGAGACAACCTTATCCTGGTCAAAAACCGCAGAATAAACCCACTAGAGACACTTGGGGAGTATTTTGTTGTTGCTGGGTTTTTTTTAAGTCCCAATTCTAACTTAGGAATAAGAGTCAAAGCAGAGGTTATCTCCAAATGCGTCTTGTAGTTTAAAAAGACCAAAATCCCTGAGCCAGCCCCTGTCCAGCAGGTGCAGTAGACAGCACGCAGCCTTGCCATTTCAGAGCTGCAGTGGTGTTATTTTACTGGATGGAAGAGGCCACAAGCCTAGTTAAAGGTCAACTTCTTAAAATCTATTTCTGCTTCTTCTGCTACACAGAGGACACCCTGGCACGGTCCAGGAGCAGGGATCAATAGTGAACCAATCCCCACTGGTATCTTTAGCTCTGTCTTTGGGCTAAGCTAACACTTGCAGGAATTCCTAGGGACTTCCGCCAAGGACCCCGACATCGGAAAATTACAGAATGTCACCACAGACCTGTCTTAACCTGCCTAAAGTGCCGGCTGAGCACAGTTCCTCTGAACTTGGTCAGGCCTCCATGACATTTGGAAGCCGGCCGCCTGCCAGGCCATAGGCTGTTTATGGAACACGGGCTACGGAACTCACGATGGAGAGTCTCACATTTCCAGAAAGGAGAAATTCGCCTCTTGGACTGTACTTCCTGAGGCTTTATTTTTAGTCTAAACTTAACACCAGCTTCCAAATGCCAGAGGGCAACCCCTTACCACTTGCCCTTACGGGGTAGCATTTTCCTTTTTCTAAACAGAAGAGTGAGGGGAGTTTGGCCCATCCATTACTTTCGTACCAATGCCAGTATGAAATCTCATGGCTTATGAGTAAGGCTGATAGTTTTTAAAAGGAACTGTATGTCAGGGAACCTCAATTCCTCCCTCAAAATGAGTTTGGGAACAGAAGCAGGCAGGAATGGAGCACTTCCCAATAGCTAGGTAAAGCCTCTGTCCACAGGTCAAGTCAGCTCATAAACAACCTCGGCACAAATACATTCCTACCACGCTGCTGGAGAAGTGTGCAGACTTTATTTTAATGTACCAGAGCCCCTGGGAAGACACAGGCCAGGAACACAATGTTGATGAAAGGGGGTATTATATGCCAAGAAGTGTTAGTGCATGAGACTCAGTCCTTAACTTGCAATAAGGACTTCTCCTGTACCTGCTCAGTTATCTTGATCTAACCTAGGCCAGAATTCAATCTGCAGGGTGACCTTTTGTCTCATCACCTCAATATGAACTGTTACAGAAACCCAAGGGTAAGGAGGTGTCAAGCACTGTGGCCACGATACCTAATGGCTTACAAGGTTTTCCAGTAGAACCCTTCCACACTTTTTTTTAAGTTTATTTTTCCCAGCAATCTTTATACCCAACTTGGGGCCCAAACCCACAACCCCAAGATCAAGAGTCGCATGTTCCTCTGACTGAGCCAGTCAGGCACCCCAAACCTTCCATACTCTTGTGAACACAGGTGTGTGGGATAACCACGGCCAATAACAAAACGAATCTTCTTTGTGGAAGGAGACTTGGCCAGTTGAGATAGCAGGAGATGGGGAAAGGAAGAGTAGGGATAGGCTAGTGAAGACGATCTCCCTATTGGCTGTAAACCCCAGATTCTCTCTTGCCTGATCCACTGTGGTTAAATGAACACTGCACTCCCACCCAATTGCCTACATGCTCTCCCAGTGGCCAAACTGTCCAGCTGAGGCTCACCTCATGAGTTCCATGAGAGAAGTTCAGACGAGCCACATTCATTCCAGACTTAATCATCTCTTTCAATATCTCCACAGATCGGGAAGCCGGACCTAGTGAAAAAAATTTTAAAGCCTAAGTGTTATTCAAAGTAGGAATAACACTTGAGTTTGAAGAACTCTGGATATTCTTTGTCCCTAAATTTCCCTCCTGCAAAAAGCTCAAAATTCTTTCAAAAGCATATACATAGCTGTTATTGTGTTTGCCCACTTTCTTGATTTAAGGGGTCACTTTTCCTATTTCCTTCAAATTCTACAGGCTCCTATCCAACTAGGAAAGCCTAAGTAAGACTTGGCCAGCCCTCTCTGCTCTCCCTGAAGGCTAGCCAGATGTCCAACCACAGAACTGCGGTTGCACAGAGCCATGTCAAAAAAGTCTTCCCAAGAGGGGCACCTGGGTGGCTCAATCGGTTAAGCATCCGACTTCGGCTCAGATCATGATTTCATGGTTCATGAGTTTGAGCCCCGCATCGGCTCTCTGTTGTCAGTGCAGAGCCGGCTTTGGATCCTTGGTCGTCTTCTTTCTCTCTCTGCCCCTCCACTGCTCTCTCCCTTTCTCTCAAAACTGAAACATTTTTTTAAATCTTAAAAAAAAAAAAGATCTTCCTAAGATTTCTGAGGTGCTCCTAAAAGAGGTGCTAAGGAAGACATCGTCTAAATTTCGCCTTTAGTAGCAAAAACAGAGCATACTAATTCCTTACTGCAACTTCCTATGTCCTGAGTTCCCACAAGAATCTGTGTAGCCTCTCACTCAGCAACCAGGTTTGCTACATTTATTTTGTCTTTTCAGGAGAGAAAAGATCACTGTCATAGGAGGCCCTCGTTTTGAGGGGCACACCCACTCACCGATGGTACAGATGATGCCCGTGTTACGGGCCGTGATGGGTGGCGAGTCAATGTCCAGGCGGCACATGTGCTCCAAGAACGTGTCAGCCATGGCTGCGTGCAGCTGCTGGGTCTGAATGAAGGCAGTCCCGACATCACTATGGGGCTTTGACATGGCTGCTGAGGTCCTGGGTCCAGGAGAACTGAAGAGAGAGTATCAGTCTGAGAAGCCCAGGTAGTTAATATACCACTTGGCACATGAGGCTGTTTCCTGCTTACACATTAACTCAATAAGCACACTTTGCACACAAGCCACAGGGAGCCCTGCCACGCTCTGGCCATGTGGGTGCTCCTCAAGTCAGGCATAGGGTTCACATGGCCATGAGCAAGTGGGAAGGACCTCAAAGAACAGTTTAAAACCTCGTACCCAGTGTGTGTACTTCCCAAGTACCTGCTGTAAGCAGACCCCCCTTACAACAGCTCATATCTACCTTGACAGCTTTCTTGTCCATCCTACAAACATGTCACAGGCATGGAAAGAGCTTCCCCAAAAGAAAATTGTAACTGATCTTCCAGTGAGGTAAAGAATGGAATCCTAGTTTAGTACCTTGGCGAATCTAGATCTTTGTATGAAAAGCTATCTCAAAGCTATAAATGTCTGCTACAGGGCAGGGCATCCACATTGGCTTTTAACAATCCCCACCCAAACGCAAAGTGAGTTTCCTGGTTGTAAAGACAGCCACCAACCAGGCAGTCCGTTGAGCTCTGGGATACTAGATTTTCACTAACACGGGGCACACATCAAGTTCATTCCTCGACTCACGCTAGCAGGAGAGTTCACAGACAGATAGTAGAAACCAGTCCCTAGACAGGAAGCAAAGTTGATCCAAAACGCTGAATGCAGAATCTTTTGTCCCAGAAGTCTACCTAAAAACTACATCTACTTTTGGTCAGCAGCCACTTTAGGACACACAAAGTAATTTGCATAAATTCAAGGATAACCCCAAAGGGCACTGGTCTCACTCTAAAATTAGTACAGCAACTTTAACAGGACAGTCACAACATGAGGAAATTAAGATTGCTTGCCAAATCCTTTTCCCAACTGATTTTCTGATGCACCATCCCAGTTCAACTTTCTGACAAGTACACCACCCTAAGTAACAAAGACCATCTGTGTTTCAGGTAATTAACCAGGCCAGGTCACAATCCTGACAACTGTCCCGACCTTTGCTTTCTTCATTACTGACTTACAACTAAACTCACTCAGCCGGTTAGTTAGCTGATTACAAAGACTTGAGAAGTTTCCAGGCAGTGTCTTAAGAACCATCAGGTAAGGATGCGAGCCAGAGCTGGACACTCCTCATCAGAAGGCTGTCCCTCTCAAGTTCTCAGACCAAGGGCTACTCCTTCTAAAACCCTTGAGCCTAGAGGCTTCAGGCCAGGCTCTGGAGCAAGCCCCTCTTCAGCCCTGTCCCTCCTCTTCCTATAAATCTAAGGCACCCTGATATATCACTCTTACAATCTTTCTCCTCCTCCATCCTTGACTTGGTGGCCTCTCTGGGTAGTTCGAGTAGACCATGCATCTAAACCTACCTCTGCTACCTTCGAGAATTGTGATAAAAGCCCAAGAAGCTTTGTGACCAGGTATGAGCAAACCTGTCAGCTACTGAAAATATATGGTTACCACATTTTAAAAAAAGGGGGGAGGGAGGGGCGCCTGGGTGGCTCAGCAGGTTAAGCATCTGACTTTGGCTCAGGTCATGATCTCACAGTTTGTGAGTTCCAGCCCCGCAGCGGGCTCTGTGCTGACAGCTCGGAGCCTGGAGGCTGCTTCGGATTCTGTGCCTCCATCTCTCTCTGCCCCTCCCCCATTCACACTCTGTGTGTGTCTCTCTCTCAAAAATAAATAAACCTTTGAAGAAAGAAAGAAAGAAAGAAAGAAAGAAAGAAAGAAAGAAAGAAAGAAAGAAAGAAAGAAAGAAAGAAAGAAAGAAAACAAAACAAATGGCTACCACCAGTCCTCAACTACAGAAGCCAAAACTTTAAAACTGGGGAAGTAAGATATTGGCTAACTATTCCACATGACAAATGCACTGTTCCCCTCAGTGTGCATTTCCTAATTCTCTAATACAACATACCAGGCAGCAAAATGAAAACATCAACCCTCTCCTCCATGACCTATTTGGTTTTATATCTGTTAACACCTAATACTAGGAGGTATTCCAGTGTCTGTTGAATGACCTTTCAGTGTATCTTAACACCTCTTTGCCGAAGTCAAAGTTCTACCCCCCTTCCCCTCCTTCCCTGAATCTGAAGCACTGAGGAATTACTGAAGGTACTGCCTGGGCAGGCAGGGTTCCTTTACCTGCACTGATGGGGAGTCAGGGTTGCTGCCTGCAGAGCACACAGCGGGTGGGGCTTAGGCAAGTCTGGCTGTGAAGGGAACACTACTGAAGAGATGGCACCAGGGGGCACACGAACCCAGTTGGAACACAAAGGCCTTGCTGTGGCCTCCAAGTGGAGTCACCATCCAGTTTGAGGACTGTATCATGAACCAAATAAGATCTGAATGAATGGGTTGGAGTAACTAACCCCAATCTTCTTAAAAACCATCACCTGTCAAAAACAAAAACCAACCCCCCCCCCCCCCCAAAAAATTAAAAAATCATCAGCATCAGCTGCCTCTTCTCTAGACCTGAGACATCAGGGTTTCCTTGCAAGGACCTGGCTGGGGCCACTGGTTATTGGGTCATACCTTGTGTTCTCTGGGCTTGGGCTTCCAATGGCATAATGCTCTTTTTTTGGCTCAGGGTGGCTCCTTGGCCCCACTTGCAAAGATCGCTCGGAGCTGAGTAAAGTTTGCTCTGCAGAGCTGTACAAGGATCAAGGCAGAAGCTGAGTGTAACTAAAGTTCTTTGGGGCAATGGAAAAAATTACCTTAGTAACCAGGTAGCCAGGTGGTAGCTGCTCCCAGAGGTTCAGCTATGTTACAGAGAAAATACCAAGAAACTGGTAACAGAAACTTTGCAGGCAAAAGTAAGTTCTTACTGGCTCCTCTACGATGCTTTATCTCCTAGTGGAGACCAGATTACCTTCCCTCTAAATTTTCTTTAAGCCTGGGGGTTTACTAACATTTCACTATTCTATATAAGAACCTGGTTGGTTTTGGCTCAGGTCTTGATCTCATGGTTCGTGAGACTGAGCCCCACACTGCGCTCTGCACTGCCAGCACGGGTGCTGCTTGGGATTCTTTCTCTTCCTCTCCCTCTGCCCCTCCCCCACTTGCACTGGCGCGCTCTCTCTCTCTCAAAATAAATAAACTTTAAAATAAACATACATTTGGGGCGCCTGGGTAGCTCAGTCGGTTAAGCGTCCGACTTCGGCTCAGGTCATGATCTCGAGGTTCGTGAGTTCAAGCCCCGTGTCAGGCTCTGTGCTGATGGCTCAGAGCCTGGAGCCTGTTTCGGATTCTGTGTCTCCCTCTCTCTCTGACCCTCCCCCGTTCATGCTCTGTCTCTCTCTGTCTCAAAAATAAATAAACGTTAAAAAAAAATTAAAAAATAAAATAAACATACATTTAACTGGAAAAATATCTACCTAAATATTAACAGCACATCAGCTGGTGATAGGATTACAGCAAATTTTTTTCTTCCTTTTACTAATTTACCCGTAATGAAATATTTCCATATTAAGAAAAATGGCAACTGTACCTCTCCTGAAAATGATAACATTTATAAGTTTCCTGGTAAAAGTGTTGGAATTAAAAGGGTTAGAAGCTTCTGGTTTTATTAATCAACCACTGCTCTATGCATTTCAGGAATACTCTGCTTAAATGGGGCAGAGGTGAGATAACACAGCTTAGGCCCTAAGTTAATCAAGTCCGCAGGACAATTCTATGCAAAAAAAACTATTAGTCACGCACCCAATTCCAGCAAACTTTTTTTCCTGTTTAGTCTGTCCTCAATCTTTACGGCAAAATCTTTGTGACAGGGATGTTCTGGTACAGAAGGGCTGTCTCCAAGGCCAGGAGCAGATACAATTATATTGGGCTCAAACAATAATCCTATGTCACCATGTCAAGTTAAATCTGAGCTTTTCCAAGCTCTGATCTTTTGCTCACCCAGGCTATTAAACACACAAAAAATAACAAATGAAAATCTGTTTGGCATTTGAGCGCATTTACATGCCAGCAATAAAAAAAAAAAAAAAAAAAAAAAAAAAAAGCCTGCTTGTCCAGACTCCTATGCGGTATCTCAACATGTCCTTAAAGACCCCTACCAAACCAGGGAACTCGGGTCTCATCCCCAGGTCACCGGCCGGTCTCCTGCCTCAGGCTCTGCCCCAGAGCCTCCTTTGCCGGAGGGTCAGGGCTCTGCTGCCAAGGTCCTCCACGAGCCTCTCTTGAGCGCAAGCTGCCCACCCTGCCAACCACCTAACTTGAGTTCTTCCTAAACACCCTTCAACTGTCCCCTAGCCCCAGGATGGCAGTCCCAGCCCGGTTTCTCGGGGCGGGCCTCTGGGAAGAGCTCCCCGCCCCTCAGGCTGGACAGTGCCCGCCAAGACATGCAGCCAGGCCAGTGCCCGTCTGACTCACTACTGCATCCTCCTCCTTGGGAGGCAGACACATGCGCAGCCAACCTCCAGCCAGCAGTGGAAGCCCGGCGTACCCACTGATGGTGGCAAATGCTGTGCTCGGGTGCGGGAACCTTACTCGTGAGCATGAGCCCCTGCAGTAGGATCTTCCTCACAGCCATTTCTCCTCTGTGAGAAAGGAGACAGCGTCAGAGCCTCAGTGCAGGCTGAGGGGCTGGAGTAGCTACGCTCACAGCTCAGCTCCATGTACCCCTCCTCCCACCTCTCCTCCTCGTCTCCAGCAGCTCCTGGTTCTCTAGCTTCATTCGTGCCAGAAACGATTCTTTGGCCGCTATCCAGAAACCAGAGCAGGAAGGAGCATCCAAAAAATACGACATGCCTCTTCTTAGAGCCAGTACTGTTGGCGAGTTGTGCCGGGAAGGCTTCACGCTTCGCCAATTCTTTCACAAAGGCCCAGATCATTCTGCCCTGGTAAACCAGCCTGGCCCATGGGCCTGTATGTGCATAACCCAATTTTTAACCAGCCAGGGCACTCTGCACCAAGTGTGTCCTGATGCCAAACCTCACCACACAGAGTAACCCAATTATGATGGCACCTGGTGCCCCGCATTGTGTTCCCTGCTCTGACATCAATTTGCTATCTGCACCTCCAGGTCAGCATGACAAAGGCCTTTCAATTCCCCAATCTTCAGACAAGGTGTCCAGGCCAGCCTGCTCTCTAGGAGCTCTCTTCCCAGATGCCAGAGCAATAGAAATCCCAAGACTGGCCCTAATCTGACTATGACAACACCGACATCAAAATAGGTGCCGGGCCACCTACAGAACCTAGTAAGGTCTAGACTGAATGGCTGTTTGTCCTTATATTCACTTACAGTAATGACATCATGTATTTACACATGGAGTAGGGTATGGAGGAAAAGGCATTTCTAGCTAAGAGATGTGAATTTCAAGTCCAATCTACCCTCAGCAGGCCCAGTAATAGAACGCCAAGTCTAGTTTACCTGGTTACTTACATAAAACAAAAATGAGCCCCCTTGCAGGTTCAAGTAAAATTCCCTCGCTTTTATTTATTCAGGGCTACAACTAAGGGACTTATACTTTACAAGCAGGGGCCTAAGGTTCTATTTCAAACTTGAGTGTAAAGAGGGCACTAAGACAGACACAAAATGGGCCCACCCCCCAAAGGACCACTCAACTCCAGGGCAGCTAAGTCCCAAGTCAGAGAAACATCCCACGTCCTCATTTGACCACAGATGCTCAGAGCAGAGAACTGGTTTCAGCCTGAAGGAGAAGTCCGGAGGAAGCTTTTGTTGTCCTGTGTTATGATGTCTCCTTACTAGGCTTAAAATAATGAGGCAGTGTTTTAGGGCATGATATTCATACTCTGGAAGCAGCAAGGGACCTGGAACCCTGTAGTTTAGGGCCCAAGTCAGGGACAACCAGGACGGGTGACGGCCTCCGGAGTGAGGCATTAGCTCAGCATTTAAAGGAAGAGCTGCCCTGCATCACAGTTGGAGGGAGGAGAAGCGGGAAAAGGGGAGATGGGAGGAGGAATGGCAGGACCAGCTCTCTAAGAGCACGGACCTAGTTTGTATGACTGGTCTTCCTATAGTGACCTTCACAGATTTGCTTCTATTTTATTTTGAACTAAGGAAAAAAAAATAATTAACAGCTGTATTTCTACCACCCAGAACTGACTACTAACAGCCAGAATTTTAGGCTTAAAAAAAAAAATGCATTTTGTAGAGTTCATTTTCCCTCTATCCCCACACCCCTCCAACCCTTCCACAGCCTGTCACGAACTCTGACACCCAACTACTGTCAGGAATTTTCTATCCTTCTAATTCATTTAAGTGTGACTATATACCAACCCCATGATACTGTTTTCTAAAATGTTCTAAGTAGTATACTGTTACAAACAAACAACTTGCATTTTTCAGCACATTTAAGACCTATCTGGTGGGTACATTAGATCTGGTGAATTCATATGAACTGCTGTCCTAGTCCACTACACTAGATCATTTACTTATGTATTATGTATTCTCTTACTGGTTGACCATCCTCCTCCTCCCACTGAATCAATTTTTCCACCATTAATCAGTATAAAGACAACTCTATCCTAGTACATGGTTCCTTGTGCAAATGTGAACTCCTCTCTCTATATTTCCACAAATGGAATTTATGAGTCACGGGGTATGTTTATTTTCTCTTTTACTAAATATCGTTAAACTGCTCTCCATTTACAACCAACCAGTAATGTGAGCTCCTGCCCTCTTATACCTCTGCCCAACATTCAATATTGTGAGGGCTTTAAAATGTCCATCCATGTGATAGGTTTATTAACCTGCTTTCTAATGTAGTAACAAAAGAGGGATACCAGATATCCAAAGTCTCTACTTCCCTACCTCTAACTAGATCAAAGCTCCCAGGGCTCTTCCAAAAGTGTCCATGATTTTGTCTCCTATACCATGACTGACTCACTTACTGGGTAATTCTCTTGCACTCATCACTGGAAACCAGGAAGACACCAACTGTCTAAAATTAAATAAATACTATCTGTAAGTTGATTTCAAAGGCCTGGAAGGAACGGGGGCCTTTTCACAGAACTTTCTGGACTGCATCAGCTAAGCTTGGTGCTATCATAGCTGGTCTTGGCATCTTCACCCCAGAGCCCCTGCCTAACATCCAAAACAAGGCTTGCTGGCGTCAGGAGAGAGAGGCTTAGTTAGAGCTCCCCAAAAGCTTCTCCTATGGACAGAAGTGGGGGAGGTAAGTCTCAGAGGCCACCGGAGGTACTGCAGCCTGGCTTGTCCTCCTACGTGCAGACCAGCACAAACCACTGCAGGGGCGGGGCCACGCCGCTTGGTGGCCCTGCCAACCTTCTGAACTGAGCAGTCGGACCGGGAGGCAAAAAGGCCCAACAGAGGTTGCATGGCACCATCCACTACGCACCCCAGCTTACTGTCCCCAAAACAACTTCTCTAACAAAGCCCCAAATAATCAGACTATTCATTTATCTAGCCTAAGACTGGCTTTTGGTGAAAAATCCAAGTTCCCAGAAAGTATGCTAGTATTAAGAACAGTCTTCCCTTAGCTCTGTTCCTATCTGTACCAGAATTAAGGTTTAAAATGATGACTCAGGGTCCTGTAAGACCAAAAAATATATATATGTGTATATACAGATATACACACATATATATACATATATACGTATATACCTAGACACACACACACACACACATATATATTTTTTTAAGTAATCTCTATGCCCAACATGGGGCTCAAACTCACGACCCCAAGATCAAGAATCGCATGCTCTACTGACTAAGCCAGCCAGGCACCCCTCCTGTAAGACCTTTTACCAAATCACTTAAACATCTCACAAGACCCTCGACAAGGTTGCAAGAAAACTCTGCTCACACTGGCAACTCATTGCAACTCATTCTTGTGGTGTACCAACCAACTGAGATTTGACTGTGGACGTTTGGAATGATTCAGAAATTAAATGTCAAATGAGTCATTTTCCCCTACCTAGAGCGGTCTTAGCTCTTGGCTAAAATAACACATCCTGACATGTCTTCACACAAGCTGAAGCAAAATAAATTAGAACCAGTTTAGTGTGAGTTGATAATGCACGGGTTGCGTTTTTTATACTTTCTAGCTCATAGTCATTTCCTCATTTCTTCCATTGCCTCAACATTAAGAAACGGCTTTAAGAAATAAAATGACTTTTCCTGTGACCCCCACCTCCATTAATGTCACAACATTGAAGGCACAGAAGCAACTCCCTACAAGGTGCTAGCTGTTTGGAGTCCCAGCTACCAAATTTGCCAAGTCACTGGCAAATTATTGGGTCTTAGAGACCCAATAAGGCTTTTTGCTAAACTATGAATTCAACACTAAAATTATTTGCTTCTAATGCAGTACTTAGAAGTGTAACTTCACTCTGAAGTGAGTTCAAGGACATTCAGTCATCATTATTCATGACCATTACAGCCCTCCTCCCACAAAGGGAGCCATGGCCCCGGAGTAGTCTCAGGAATGCAGGGACACAGGCCACATTACTTGGGCCCGGGGTTCTGCCATGCTGCACCCTAAGGTCTTAGGGCAGTACAGAGAGCCAGGGAACCTGGACAACTATTTTTCACTTAGTCGAAACCATTTTTAACTTGGGGGAAACACATGCTTCACTGTTTGACTCACTGAATAGGGAGAAGGGACTTTTTAAACCTGTGAAGACCACAGTGCAGTTTCCCACTCACCCAATGAAGAGAATTCTCTCAAAAGCAGATAAGTTGAAAGGTTGAGTCATCTTCCCCACAGAGGACCCCCTCCACCACAGACCTGGTGCTGGGTTACATACCCTTCCCCTCAGAACAGCCCCACTGCATTTCCCAACAGCATCCTCAGGCAACAGGAGAGTGAATTATTTGCTAATAATGCTGCAGAGCAGAAGTCCTGACCTAGGCTAGCCTCTGTACCCCAGGGAGTGACCACACCCTCAGTACTGCCAACAGGAGGCTGCAGTCCCTGCCTGGGATCCTAACCTCCACTCACCAGCTGGTAAAGCAAACCCTAGAACTCCACCTGGCATAGGTGGGGATGACAGTGAAGATTTCAGTTTATAAGTTTATTTCTACTCTCCTAGCCAAACATCAATTGCTGAAATTCTGCCTCCTTGCCTTCCTTCCTCTGCAGGTCCCTATTCTCAGGAGATCAAAGAGCCACTGCAGCAAGTAGAGAGCTGCAAGGTAACATTATTAGTTACTTTGTAAACACTGTACCAAGATGCCTTAAGGGATTGGTTTCCAGGAGATGTCTGCATTTTAATCATGGCTCCAAAGATTAACTAGGAATACCTGTTTGGGTATGGCATGGAGAAGATGAGCCCTCATGCTCAATTACGGTTTAAGTAATTGTGCTCAGCGAACAAAGAATACATTGGAAGGCATTTCTCCTGGACATCTCACTAGAGCTCAGACACTGAGTGGAGTATTCATCATATATTCATGTAACTGGGTATATAGTGACCAATCCTTTCAACCATTAGGAGGAAAATGTTACTCCGAGTTTATACATGGGAAACTGAGGTCCTGGGGCTGAATTCTCTCTCTCATTCTAGATGTTAATGAGTCGAACCCGATTCTAAAAGCCCATTAACTTCCCAATGCCTCTGTCCATCATGCCTGGACTTTACCCATCAGGCTCACGTGGACAGGAGAGGATCAATGTCCTAGGTTTGACGAATACAGATAAAAACCAAGGGATGCCTTTCCATGACTGGACTTTTAAATAACCTTACTACTGGAAGGTACTTTTCTGCTTCAAACCCAGTGTGTGATGCCACCTCGTGTGGCCTTTCTCCATCCCTCACCCAACAGGAAGCGATCCCTTCCTCGCAGCAGTTACCACTGTTGGTTCCCTAATCACATTATGAGCTTTGTGGGCTATGACCTTTCTGGTCATAGAAAAACAGCTTAGCACACAGAGATTTTATTGAGTGAACGCGGTACGTGGCGTCAAGCTCCTGACATATTTCTATTCTGCCCATAACCTGCTCCCACCCACCCCGAGATCTCCGTGTTCTGAAACCGTGGAGTATGTGTTCAGCGAGGTGAGGCAGAGGCGAGGCTGCACCGGTCCTGCGGAGGGGCGGGGCGGGTCCCGGTCCGCTACATGCAGCCCCGCCGCGGCAGGAGGGAGCCCCGGGACCCTCCTCGGAGCCACCGCGGCGAATCTGGGCGGCCCCAAACAAGAATGCGCCACAGGGGCAACCACCCATTTTCCTCCCCATGCAGCGGGAAGGCCGAGGGTTACATAACCTTCCAAATGGGCCGCGGGCCGCCGCTGCATCCCCCGGCGGCACGGGAGCCGGCCCAGCCCATCCGCAGACCACTGCGATTAGGGGCGTGAGCTGGGGATACGGGCCCGGGGCTCCAGGACCCAGGCGAGAAAGCGGGGTGGCAACGGGGGGGGGGGGGGTGCAGGCGGACGTGACCAGAACAGAGGGGAGGGGCGAGGACCCGGGCTGAGCGAATCAGAGAGCGGAGGAGAGGGATGCGGAGGAGCGGACGTGACCAGAATGGAGGGGGAGGGGCGGGACCAGGGCATGAATGGGGGAAGGGGCAAGCACGAGGGGGGACAAGGACGCGGGAAGAGCACGCGAAGCTGAATGGAGACGGCACGGGGGGAGGGAGCTGGGGAACGGGTTTCGAGGAGAGATTACAAGGAAAGCATCCGAATGAGGGGGGCAGGGCCGGGCTGAGGGCCCAGGGAGGGGGAATGGTACAGTATTAAGGGGCCAGGGGAGGAGGCGAGCAGATGAGCAGGCGGTGAGGGAGGAAAGGAAGGAATCCGAGGAGGGAATACTGGAAGGAAGGCGAGGATGGAAGCAGATCGAGAAGAGGGAGGCGAGGATGGGACCAGAATGGGGGTGAGCACTGGGGCAGGGGAGGGCCGGCTGTGGAACAAACAAGAGCTGGGGGGGGGGGTCTGGGGGCTCTGACGAGCAGACCCTAGGCGCGAGCTGGCTCTCTCTCCCGACTTCAACCGGGTGCAAGATGCCCAGGACCCTGCGCCGGCCCCAGTGTAAGTGCCCTGAGTGCGCAGACGGCCGGGAGTCCGCACTAGCCGTGTGCACGGAACCCTGGTGGGGACGGATGGCCCAGCCTCTGCCCCGCTCACCTCCGGCGCGGTCCCGCTCGAGCTGCAGTGCGGCTGCAGAAAGGTCTGGACGCTCGCGACGCGACGCTGCTGTGCGGCAGTCGGCCGCTTGAGCCCCAAGGTTATCCAGGCTGCAGCCGCCGCAATCCCTCCGCCGCCCCGCCCCGCACCCAATCCTGGCTCCCGGCTCGCCGGGCCCCGCCCCTCCGCTTCCTCGCGGGGCGCAGTCACCTTCAGGAGGAAGTGCCGCGGCACCCAACACGCTGCCAGGTTGCCCTTTAGGGGAGGACTACATTCCGTGGCGGAAGGACACGTTACATAAAAGTCTCGGCGTGAACGCTCTGCGCAGGCCAATGAGGAAGTGGCGAGGCGGCGAGGCAGCGGGGCCCGCCCCGGGAGCTCCGGGGACCTCCCTCCCAGACCCCCGGGCGCCGGGGCCACCACTGTCGCTGCCAGCTTGGAGTGCTGGACGAGGGCTCTTCTCTTGACCCTCGGCCCAGGCTGCCCCAGCTGTCCTGGCCTAACCGGGCAGTGCGAGATTTATGGATCCTCGGCAGCATTCCCCCAGCCCTGTCCTGCGACTCCCCATCCCTCCGGGTGCCCGCCCCAGCACACACCTCGGAAACCGTGCCGCACAGGCAGTTAGGGAGCCCGAGATGGGATCAGGAGGTGCGGAGATAGAGACTCCTGGGACGGTTGGAGGTCGCCTTCGGAAGGGCTCCCGCAATGGAGCGGGGTTAGGGACGACTGGGGAGGGCGGAGTGTGCGTGGAGCCGGAGCGCGAGGCCTTTTTGTTCTTAGGGCTACAAGAAAGGACTATTTGGGGCCGGGTGAATACTTTAGTTGGGGCTAGGATCCTGCAGAGCGAAGGCCTGAGAGTAGAAAGCGAATAGAAGGCATTAATATTAGTGTAGAAGTGACCATCAGGAAATATCAAGTCAGAATGTTAGAGTTGATAAACTGCAGGAATCAGCACTTTTGTTTTCAACCTCATGTATTTAAATCAAAATTGTTAGAGCTTTTCATACATTTTTCTCCAAGGTATTTTCCGACTTTCCGAGGGCTAGTCAACAATCAATGATGAAGGCAGTTTATCAATGAAACAGCTGTTAATTCTTGCCTTCATGAAGCCAAGTTTTGAGAACAGATACAACGCTGCCTCATTAAAAATCGTTAAGACCATATTCTCTTAGGGTGTTTCCTTTTCCTGGAAAACTAGACAATGGATGTGACTTGACTGGCAGACACCTGCCTTGTCCTGAATCAAAGGCCTTCCATTCCGCTTTCCTGTTAGATAAGCTGGGACCAGAAAGTGACAGCCTAAAAGTACGTTTTTGTTTGCCATAGAATCCTTTAATTTCTTCTGGAAGCCTTTGCTGGTCCCCTTGGTTGTAGATGGGAAGTTGGTTGGCCCTGAGCTAAGGACGAACTAAAAACAGTGGTGAACAACAGTGGGGGGTGGAGGTGTCAGTGATCTGGCCAGTGCTAGACTATGTTGCATTTTAAAGTCCTAAATGTAGGGCGCCTGGGTGGCGCAGTTGGTTAAACGTCCGACTTCAGCCAGGTCACGATCTCGCGGTCCGTGAGTTCGAGCCCCGCGTCGGGCTCTGGGCTGATGGCCCAGAGCCTGGAGCCTGTTTCTGATTCTGTGTCTCCCTCTCTCTCTGCCCCTCCCCCGTTCATGCTCTGTCTCTCTCTGTCCCAAAAAAATAAATAAACGTTAAAAAAAAATTTTTTTTAAAGTCCTAAATCTAGATACATTCCCAAGATTGAAATGCACAGGTATTAAACTGGAGAGTTACAAAAATGCTGTCCATGAAACTGGCAGAGACGAATCCAGCATATCCTTGCTTGGGTTTAGATGCATAGTGAAAATCTGTTACATGGAGTTTAAGGTGATTGTCATTGTTTTGCCAAAAAGCAGCATAGTATATAAGAAAGTTTGGATTCCATCTTCTCTTCTTTCCATCCCACTTAACTAGCCCTATGACCATATCCTATAATTCAATATGTAAGGGCCCAGTTCCTTAAAAGTAAATTCAAGGGGTGCCTAGATGACTCAGTCATTAAGCATCTGACCTTGGCTTAGATCATGATCTCACGGTTCATGAGTTCAAGTCCCACATCAGGTGAGCTTGAGCCCTGCTTTGGGTGAGCACGAGCCCCACTTAAGGTGGTAAGTAAAAAAAAAAAAAATGAGCCCCACTTTCTCTCTCTCTCCCTGCCTCTCGCTCACTTGTGCCCTCTCTCTCTCAAACAACAACAAAGTAAATTGAAGACAATGCCTGCTTCATAAGATGGGGTTTGATCAGATGATATATGTGAGTGAGTACAGCATGGTGCCCAACAGGCATCCCCTTTTTGGGGAATTGACCTTGTGGAGGATTATCCTTATGATTAGTGCCAGAACATCATTCAGAATGCAAGAAACTCTGTTTGCCTTCTCTTGGTCATCTTGAATCCCCATTCCTTTGACCCAGCAACAAGTATCCCCAGGGCTACATGAACCTGGGGGAAGCTGAGAGCCAGTCCTTCCATTAAGCTCTCTGAACTGGAAGGATGGGAGGGGGTGCTGTAGGTTCAATGGACTGGGGTGAGTGTGAGGGTATACTTTGTTACCTGTTGGTTTCATGGCCACAGAACCACAGAATCTGGGATTAAATCTGGTCTCTTGAAGGTCATTTGGAGTCCCTCATGGGGTGTGTCTGCAAATGGTACTGGACCCAACTCCTGTGGCCCTGGTGAGGGAGGGTGATATTTACAGGCTTTACCATTACACGACCTCATGAGGTAAAATGGCAGTGTTCTCTCTCAGGCCAATACAGATTTCCAGGGCAGCCCATTGACCCCGAAAGTCAGGTTAAAGCAGAAGTGCTTATCACTTTGGATTTTATATGCCCTCTCCAGAGCCAGACCAAGTAGACTTAATTTATTCTATGCCTTCCTTCAGATTCCCAAGAGCTCTTCAGGCTCATCAGGGTGACACAAAATCTTAATTCCAGAGTTCCTCCACAGAAAAACCCTGGAAGGAAGAGAAAGTTGGTCTTTTGAAATCAAGAGTAAAGAGAGAACAGGTTTTCTGTGTCGGAAGGGGAAGGCTTCACATAGGAAAACACATGGAGGTTGGTTAGGACAGATATGGGTATGGGAAGGCATTCCAGAGGATAGCAACAGTAAAGAATATTTTCTGAATGCAACTGTGTATCTAGGTCCCCCCCCCCCCCCCCGGGGTAGGCCTCATCGGCAGTTAAAAGCAGAAGGGAGGAAGCTTGAGGAGTCCTTGTCCATTCCAGTGGAAGTACTGCCTCAGCCAAGGTGACCTGGTCGGCCTGTGTGACTCACTGCAAGTCTTTCTCTAGCCCAAAACTGTTAGGACTCACAGGACAAAGCCTCCCTGGGATACTTTAACCCTATCCACCAAGCCAGTCCCATGGAGGCCCTGTCTCCTTCTTTTTCCCTGGAAGTGTAGCCACAGCTAGGCTGCCTAAGATGCAAGTGGGATTGTAAGCAGACCCCTTCCCCCAAAGTAACCAAGACTTGGAAGACGAAGAAAAGCATCAGTGAACAATGGATCATGTGCTCCCTTCCTCAGGAATTCCTCCTGTTGCAGTTCAGTCACACTCTGATTTTCACTTGGCACCTTACCTTTAGTCTTCATCTCCATGCTTACTGGCTACCAGACAACCTGACCCACTTAGCCCAGAAAGGACGGCTAGGACTAAGGAGACTTGTCTCTCTCCTAGACAAAATAATTTTTGTAGGTAATGCTTTAACTTAAAGGATGGCATCTTTGGCCCCATTGCAGGGGGTGTGGTTCTGAAATATCTGTGGAAAGTCCCACACTCCAGAGAGAATGAAGCCCCTTCAGATGAACCGGAGCCTACTTTTATTCCCACTGCTCCCGGGAGAATTGTGTGACCTGCGAAGCTTCCTCCCCACCACTCTCAAACTTGTCCCAGAAGCTGAGACATCTCCCAAACCTCCACCTCCCAATCCATCCTGAGAAGCTGTTAGGTAACCCAGTTATGACTCAGCACCAGACTCATTCCTCTCTCTCCCTACTGGCCAGAGTGAAAGGCAGAACCAAGCACAAGGCTCCTCCCCTATGGATGGCCACATCCTCACCACAAACTGAGTCAGGACCACACCCTGCCTAGATGGAAAATTACCATGAGAAGGAAGAAGGTTAAATTCCAGGGGTTTCCAAGTTCTCAATACAGAAATCATAGCCATCTACTCTCTACCTGGGACTAACTGAGGAAAATAGTTCTTTTCCTGGCCCTCGCCCTAAGTATGTCCAGGTAGAGACGAAGTAAGGCTGCTTGCGCCCAGGACCATGTGAAGTAGGAGGCCACAGTCAACCTACGTGTGCAGTATCTGTAATAACCTTGGCCTCTGTGAAGGAGGATCTCTGGTTCAGACCTGGCTTTCACAAGCCCCACCTCCACGGTAAGCAGCCCTGAGTGGGAGAAAGAGGCAATCCTTCTTCAACTCCTTCTCCAGGCTGTGGGAGGATTCCTCTCCAGAAACTCAGGGCCCCACCCTGCAAGATTCCCTGCAATGAAGGCATTGTTGGAGAAGTGCCATAGGTTTTTAATTAGATTTGCTTTATACCAGATAGGTTTTACAATTTTTCAGATATGTTTGGCTTTCAAACTTCTTAGATTCAGAGTCCTGTTGCTTTTATGTGGAACACTATAAAATGATGTATTTAATGTCATTACAATTTTATTGGCATAAAAAAGACAATGTGTATGCTACGAAAAAAACAGTGACACCTATGAGACCAGCGCAGGTGTTTGAGTTTTTTCCTGGTAATATAATATTTCTCATTCTATTATTTGCTAATACTTGCTATAGCAGGTGTCACTGACAAAGGGAAATTATAAGAAATGCTTACAACTGAGAAAAATCCATTCACAATTTCTGAAAATTGAGCAAAAATGTTGTTACACCACTGGAGCAGCCAAGCACCTGGACTGAGTTGTTGGAACACCTGTGGGAGTAGTCTGAGAACCTCGGTGGGAATTGAAACAATGCTTAAGAGCTCAGATTCTGAAGTTGGGCAGTCCTGGTAAAAACCCAGCACTGCCACTGACTTGCTATGAGACCCTAGACGCATAATTTAAGATCTCTAAAGAAAACCTATCTTCCATCTTTTTTGGTCAGCATTAAAATGAAAAAATACTTGCAAAGTTTGAAAGGCTATCTAGTCTAGAATTGGAACAAACAGTTCGGAAATCAGGTTATCTGTCAGTCATGAGCTGTGGAATATGAGCAAATCACTTATCCTGTTTTCTCACCTACAAAATGGGAATAACAGCTCCTAATTCATAGGCTTGTGAGAATTACATAGTCAAATACAGAGTGCTTACAACAATGCCAAGCATATAGTAATCCAAAGTGTTAGCAAATTATTAAAGTGCTTATTAGCATAAAACCTGGATCTACCTAGTATGAAGTAAAAAATGTTAGCTCTCCCTAATACTGTTTAGATGAGCTGCAAGGGTACTCCTAGGAGGCAGGAATTTCAGTGAGTGTGGGCTTCCTGGTGGGGCCATTTATTTAGTGGAAAGGAATTTCTTCTAGACCACAAAGCAGAATGGGACAGAGAGCCTTAGGAAACTTGTAGAGTCAAGAGTGTAACAGTCTTGATTAAGAACAGGTAAGGAAGTTTAAGAAAAGCTCCTACTGGGTGTTATATGGAAGTGATGAATCACTAAATTCTATTCCTGAAATCATTATTACACTATATGTTAACTTGGATTTAAATTTAAAAAAAGGAAAAGAAAGGAAAGGAAAGAAAGAAAGAAAAAGAAAAACGCCCAGGGGATGGGCCTTAAGAGTGGTACTTCATGTTGAGGCAAGTCAGGAACTACAATGCAGGCAGGTACTCGGGCAAAGAAGGTATCTCCAAAGCACAGGGTGAAAGTAATGAGACAATAGGTGGTCTAGGGAAGACTCTGTAAATCAAGAAGCTGTAACAGAATAAAAAACCTATACTTGAAAAGCCAGGCTTGTTTAATGTGTTTTGTATTCTCTGTGCTTATATTCCTGTTTTTCTTCATTAATAGTTCAAAATATTTGATGTCCAACCCATCTCTGAGCTAACTTAGGGTTACAGGCACATGAAGCACAGCCTGAAAGGCCAGCAGAAGGTTGGCAGTGGGAATTTCAACAGGGAGATGGATTTCACTGAAATAATTAGGTCTCCTAGAAACAGCTCTCTTTCTTCACCTTGCTAACCTTGGAGAATTTGGATTTTGTTGTATTGAGGGAGGCTGCATTTCTCTAGATGTCAAATGAGGGACCAAGCCAACTTCCTGCATCTGTCAGCTATTTCCCCCCACCACCCTTACCCTAGAGAAATAGCTGGGAGGAGGAAGAGAATAGGGGCCCAACCCCTGAGACAGAGAGCAAGGGGCAGTGGCTAAGTTGTGTGCAAAAAGCAGAGGTCCTGGGGCTCCTGGGTGGCTCAGTTGGTTAAGTGTCTGACTTCGGCTCAGGTCATGGTCTTGCAGTTTGTGAGTTCGAGCTCCACGTCCAGCTCTGTGCTGATAGCTCAGAGCCTGGAGCCTGCTTCAGATTCTGTGTCCCTCTCTCTCTGCCCCTCCCCCACTCGTGCGCGCTCTCTCTCTCTCTCTCTCTCTCTCTCTCTCTCTCTCTCTCTCCTCTCTCTCTCTCTCAAAAATAAATAAACATTAAAAAAAAAAAAAAAAGCAGAGGTCCTAAGGGTAGGAAATCTGAGCTGCTTTGGCCTCAGCGGTACTTTTAAATCTTGAGGAACAGGCATCAGTGGTATTCTATATCCTTCTGAGTTTGCATCATCTGCGTAACTGATAACTGCCTAACTTCTTTATCCAGTTCATTGACAAAAATGTTGCCAGATCCGTGGTACATACACTACACTAGATGACTCAGCTTTTACTCCACCCAACATAATTAGTTCCAACCCTCAGGATATTCCACTCTCCCCACCTGACACCCCACTTGAGGGCTTGGGGCAGGTGCTGGGCCAAGGCTAGTCAGACCACAGTGATCATATCCAGTCCACAGCACCTTCCATTTTATTGTTTTATTTACAAACAGGGTGAAGTCAACTGGGAAAATCAGGAGTAGGGAGTCAGTCTGGGCCATCCAAATGTGGAGTGGTTCCTGGGTCAGTCTCCACCATGAAGGCCGCCTCTTCTATGCTTTTCCTGCCCCTTGGTAATGGCCCCTTGATTCCTCAGGGCAGCCTCACATGCTGCTCCTGAGCCCTTGTATGAGGGCAGATGGATCCTGGGGGAACAGGGGTGGTACGAGGGCTGGGGCCCCCTCAGTTTGTGTAAACCTGAGTTCCGATCACACGCATGATTTCCTTCTGTATCTTGGGGTCCTGAGTATTAATGTTGGCATCGCCCACCTGACCATCCTCATATCTGCCAAAGATAGGGCAAGTGTGAGCATAAGAGGGAGAAGAATACCAGAATAACATCAACCAGTGAACTATATGTGAGGTGTGGCCATTCCAACCCAAAAGTCAAAACCCTTTCTTGCTACTCTTTAGGGTAGAAGAGATTCAGCTTATCTGATTGCCTCTAAACAGATCTATACCCATCCCCATCCTCCACAGGGAAAGTTCCAGTGCCAGCTCCACTCAGGTTGCCAGGGATAAGTCTCAGATGACAGGAACAGACTTTCCCAGTAATCATACCATTACACCCCCACCCTTATTCCTCAGAGTAATCCCCAAGGTCCCTCCTAGACTTACACAAAGAAGAACCGTGTGCAGACATGGTCAGACACAGGGCACACCCAGATGTTCCCATGCTTCTGGAGGTCCTTAGATGTAATCACTGGGAAGAAGGGGGCCAGAAATTATAATGCTTAAGTCACACAGTCCAGGCAGGGGAGGGAAGACAATGTGTCAACAACACCCTCAGCTGGATCACGTGCCAGAGCTGTACCAGAAATAAAGGTTGGGGACACAGAAATACAGGGACTGGGTAAGCCACCTACCTTCACAAAGTGCTATACAGTTTAGATTCCGACTCTGCAGGAACCTTGACTGAATGGATCGGGTCTGGAAGAGAAGGATAGCAGAGCCAGGTGGACTGTTATAGCTTCCCTAGGCAGGAGGTTAGCTGCTGGTGGCTAGGGGTATGGATTAGGATATCTGGGTCTCCCAGCCACCACCACCCCCAAATTTTGCTTTTGCATAATTAGTCTGGCTGAGTCCATAGCTTCGATCTTTACATTTTCATGTCACTGCATTTAAACTCAGTCTCTGCTTTCACACTTATGACTGAGGCCACATAGGACTCTGGAAGCATGTTCATCTTCAAACATATCTGATTCCTTCAAATGATCTTCAAACTACTCACTTGCCCCACCATTTGTTCCCCATCCATCTCTGTAGCCTAAACTTATCCTAGGGGAAGGATTCTGCCTGCCTCACTGGAGTGCCAACTAATAATACCTGGGGGATGGTATTCATCCTGTTATATCTCTGGACCAGCTCATCCTTGGAGGGCATCCTGTGCTGTCCTTTTCCCATTCCTGTTATAGAACAACAAATCCAGTTCAGTCACCCACTCCTCAATCACATAGTTACTAAAATGTCTACTATGTGCCAGGCACTGAGCTAGACATGTAGTAAATAAATAAACAAGGTATCTGCCCTGACACAATTTAGTCTGGTGGATACTACAGGCAAAGAACAAGTAATTACAACACAGTATGGCAAGAAGTGTGATGGGGAGAATCTAGAACAATGTGTGAGCTAGAGGAGGGGAACTAGCCTGCCCTAGGGTTTTGAAGAAGGCTTCCCAGTGACAGCCGGGAAAAATTACTTAAATGAAGAGGGGGAAAGTGTTCTGGCAGAGGTAAAAGGACATAGAAGGTCTGGAGGAAAGAAAGCAGTGTGCCTTTGTTTGTATGGAGCATAGTCAATGGAAGGAGAGCGGCAACAGATGATGTGGAAGCAGTGAGTCAGGATCAGATCAAGCAGGCCTTATAGGCCATGTTAAGACAACTGAAGTTTATCCTGAGAATATCAAAGAATCACTAGAAGGTTCTAAGACAGGGGAGGAACACATGAAATGAGACAGGAATGAGGGGCTCACGAGAGTGGTGATATCAACCCCTTGGATCAAATGCCAGATTGAGCAAAATGAGTGAAGAGGAAGCAAGCAGAGCAAGTCAGACCTGTTCCAGTCTCAAAGTTACGTAGAAAACCATGAGCAGAGTCACTCAAAAGAAAAGACAGAAAGCACAGAAGGTAAGTGATGAATAATTTTCCACAAGTAACCACAATGGCAACAACCTTGAAGAATCCTGCTTCCTTTAGAAAGTCTTCCCAGACTTGAGGAAGTGGTGCCAATTCCCTCCAGTGTCCCCCTGTCTAAATCCATAAATCCTCTGCCATCCTTATCCCCCAGTGAATAGCCCTATTTATAACATTTATAGACCCATTCTGGATTTTTCTTATTTAGACATGGAACAGTGCTTATGTGCCCCTACTCCCAACTGTTTTTGGCCTGTGACTAGACTTTAGTCTTGACTCAGCTTTCTCACAGGCCTACCTTTATCACAGTCATGTGTGTGTGTCTATGTGTCCATCCCTGTCTGTCTGAGAGGACATGGATGAAGATGGGAAATGAGGCTATCCTTACAGGCCATAAGCAGGGCCCCTATCTCACCACTCTACCTTGGAACATTCTATTACAAATCCCACTCTCCTTCAGTTCTTGGTTTTGTGATAGCCATGGTGCAGGAGTGGGGATGCCTGGACTGACATTCCTCACTGCTCAGGCTGTCAATTCATCATGCACTCACACTAAAGTCCCACGACAGATATATGGCCTGAACAAAACTCAAGGCAAGACTTAAACTCTTAATTTCTTCCTCCTAAAGGTGTGACACTTACCACCCCTTGATTTCTACTTTCCCCATTAGCCTTAAGTAAGTTTAGCTCTGAATCCAAACATGACGTTCTCATCCTGGGTATTTCAGTGCAAGATTTGGAGTGATCCCAAAGGATAAGAAAGAACAATCTGATTTCTATGGCTGGTCTTTCAAATGGCCCTTATGATGCAATCCAAATCTTGTCCCATCTCAATCCTGTTGCACACTGTCCTGTTCATATTGACCCAATGATCTTCTACAGTTTACCAAGACCAGAAACTGAGAAAGTGGTGGCTACAGTAATCCCTGGATGCTTTGTATCCAGAGTATACACCTATCAGAAGTCTCTAAACAGAACTAAACACACAGATGGAGTTTACTAACTCCTTTCTCCCTGGCCCTTGTTTTAACCCGCACACGATGGCCAAGTCATTGGAGTGGAGGCTCCATTAGCCAAATGGATGCTCTCTATTTATACCAGCTCCCAGATAGCATGCAGTGCCACAAAACTAAGGATACCCTGAGGGAGAACAGAGAAAACTAGAGCAGAATAGGGTATGTGGAAACATATAAGAAGATGGAATTGGTTAAATACTAGAGTAATTACAATAAACTGGACATCTGTACACATCTCACATTATAGAGATTCTCACATATCTGTGGGCCCTCAGAGACTCATTCAAGCAAAGCCTACCCTGTCAGTCCAATATAGTAATAAGAACACTGGCCCAGAAGTTAGGAGGCCTAGATTCCAATCCTAGGTCTGCTACTCACAGCTGTGTGTAACTTCTCTGTGTATGAGCTTTCCTAACTATAAAGTAAGAAAGGATTGGATGAGATGATCTATAACTCTAAAAGTAAAATCCGATGCCATTTTATAATCAGTGGACCTTTGCAAGAGGAAAAGGATGGTGTCCTATGATGTTTTTCTGTGACTGAAGTGATGAAGAAATATAAAGAGTCAATAGAGATTCCTGGCTCCATAGGTATTCAGGCACTCAGTAGTAAACAAAAGCCAGTGACAGAGAAGAGAGGGAGAGAACAGGATGAGAACAGACAGGAAGCAAGAATTTTGTGGGCACCAAGAACACCAAGGCACCAGGAGAATCTCACTACTTGGAAAATAACGAGAGCTTAATGAGGGAAGCTCAGGCGGGAACAAAGATAAAAACTGAGGAACCCAGACAAAAAAGCCAAAAAGACTACCCTAACCCCAACCCCACTTTGCACCCCAGGCACACAGAATAAGATTCATTCACACATTCAATCGGTATTTATTGGGCACTTACCCTGGGTGGATTACTCATTAGGTTTGGTTCATGACACACATTCATTCATTCATTCATTCATTCATTTATTTATTATCTACTATACCTATAGACCCAACCTACAGACTAAATCCAAGAACCAAAACATTACTAGTGATTTATATCAATGTGCTCCTACCCTATCCCAACTATCTATCTGCTTATCCTCAGGAGGTAACCACTATCCTGAAATTTCTTTAGTTTTATCATACATACATAACACACATGCACCAAAAGGTTTATATTTGTTTGCTTTTAAACAATATAAAAAAGACATTATACACTAGTCTTCTGGGCTTGCCTTTTTTTTCTTTAGCTCAGCTCATTACCAAGGTTTTTCCATGTAGTGAAGTACTACTGTTTATCCATTTTCATTGTTAAATAATAATCCACTTTGACAATATATGAAAATGTATTTATCCATCCTCCTGGTAGTGAGCATTTGGGTTGTTTCCAAGATTTGCTACTGCAAACACTGCTGCTTTGAACATTCAAGTACACCTCTGGGCATGCAGGAATGAAAATGCTGGGTCACTGGGATAAATTTTCTCAGCTTTATGAAATTAAACACCAAATTGTTCTCCAAAGTGGTTGTACCAATTTATATTCCAATAAACAATAAAAGAGATCCTGCTAATCAACTTCTAGGACCATCAGAGGTATTACCAGATTTCTTAATTTTTGCCAGTCCACATAGGTGGCAAACAGTAGTCATTTTGGTCTTCATTTTACTTCCTTGATTAATAGCAGTTCAGCAACTTGTCATATTTTTTGGTCATTTCTTCAGTGAAATGTCTGTTCATGTCATTTGCCTATTTTTCTACTGGGTTGTCTTTTTCTTACTGATTTTTAAGCATTTTAAAATACATTTTTGGGTTACCTGGGTGGCTCAGTTAAGCGTTCAACTCCTGGTTTCTGCTCAGGTCATGATCTCACTGTTGGTGAGGTCAAGCCCCATGTTGGGTTCTGTGCTGGCAGTGTGGAGCCTGCCTGAGATTCTCTCTCTCCCTCTCTCTCTCTGCCCCCTCTCCTGTTTGCTTTCTCTCTCAAAATAAATAAATAAACTTAAAAAAATATCTTTATTACTAATCTTTTGTGGTTAAATATGTTACAAATGTCTTCTGGTTTGTAGCTTTTCACTTTCTTAAGGTGTCTTCTGGTAAACAGAAGTTTTTAGTTTTAATAAAGTTAAATTTACTTACCTTTTATGATTTATAATTCTACATTTTTTTCATTCTATGGAAAGTTTTATATAAAACTAATAATTTGTTTGGCTTGGTTAAAGCCTGGTTTAAGATTCACTTATAAAACTATCTGGGTTTGGTGAGTTTTTTGATTTAGTTGCTGCTGTTAGAGTAGTTTAAAATTTAAAGACTTTTCTAGTTCTATGATTCTGGATCTAAGTATTCTTATCTTTATAATAATTATAATTACCAGATAATACTAAATAATAATCTATAAAGAATATAGCACTGTAGGGGCGTCTGGGTGGCTCAGTCGGCTGAGCGTCTGACTTCAGCTCAGGTCATGATCTCATCGCTTGTGAGTTCGAGCCCTGCATTGGGCTCTGTGCTGACAGCTCAGAGCCTGGAACCTGCTTCAGATTCTGTGTCTCCCTCTCTCTCTGCTCCTTCCCCATTCGTACTCTGTCTCTGTCCCTCAAAAATGAATAAACGTTAAAAAAAAATTTTAAAGAATACAGCACTGTCTCCTTCATATGGTAGACATGCAATATATGGTGGTTACCTTTTATATAGAGACTGTGTAGAACAAGAACAAATGAAAACTAAAAAGGAACTAAGACATGAACCTGTAACACTGAGAGAGCTCCAAGGCAGATTCATTTTCTGAATAGAACAAACCTGGACTCCTCTCCTGACTAGAAAATGGACCTTACCCATGCCTTATCTTTGGAATAAAATGCTTTCTCTTCCATTCTTATAATAGTATGTAATTATAGACAGTTTAAATTTTAAAAGGTAGTTGACAGGGAGAACAATGTCTCCAGAAATGTAAGCTGATGGAAGATACTCAAGCATTCAAGTGTATTCACATATAAACTCACATGCACACGTGTACATATACCATCTATAAACAACAGGCTATTGCCCACACCAAAAATGTGGTCTATGAAAAGCCTCGTTTCAATCTCCCAGTTATTTCCTAACTTATTCTCAGAGCCAAGCCTCTACAATGAATAAAACCATCCCTACGGAGAAGAGGACTTCCTAACAGAAAGGGAGATAATTGGCCTCATGGTGTAAAGACTCTACATCACTAACGAGAGGAGGTAAAGAAACCATGTATCTATGACTGGGAGAGAGCTGACACAGACCAAGTACCCATGATGGAGCAGGAGGAGACAGCATAGATTACGTATTCACAAAATGGATGCGATGTAAATAGAGCCGAGGTGGCCAGACAGTATTTCTTACCTGAGTATCCAAAGGAAATACTGGAGATGGGGCTCAGGTAGATGCCTTTGCCATAGGCTGCTCCATGCAGCTTGCAGGGAAACACCAGGATGAGCAATATGAGCCTGGGCCCTCCCATGGCTGTATGTTAGGCAGCCACAAGGCTTATCCAGCCCTCTGTCCCTCCAATTACCTTCTCACTGGTTCAGATTACTCTAGGAATTTACTCTTGAAAATCTGATTGGCTGAAAAGTGGATGCAGGTTAACCTCTTTGCCCTACTAGATACTGATGTCTTGGAATGTAACGAGTGGCAAAGCCACTAGTCAGTCCCTCAGAATCCATACTCCATTCCCCAGGCTTTGGTACATATGCAGATTCCAAAAATGAACTATAGAACAGGTACCCAAGAGGAGAAACAATAATCACTCCTTGGATTCCCATAGGGAGAAGAAATAAGTCTTTTATATCACTTTTCTGAATGAACAGTCACATAAATTAAAAACCTTTGTCTAACAGGTTAATGCATCACAGTGGCTGTAGTCAGCATTTCATATTCCTGCCTATTGATATAATCCTATTCCCAAAACTACCAAAAAAACACAGCCTGGGGTCAAATATATATCAGCCATATTCATTCTATGCAAACAATTCCAACCTCTTTCCTTGGAAAGCCACACGGCAGGCTAGATTTGAGGATGCTGAGGCAAAAATCAGTTCAGTACTCTAGAGCAGGCTTCCCCAAAACTGAGTGGGGCAGGGAGGGGAGTGGAGAGAAAGGGAAAGGCACACAGCCTCACCTGCAGTTTGGTGTAGGATGCATTGACCAGCCCATTGCGCAGGATCGAATGCCAGTTTTCAATGTGGGACCCACTGTAAGGCAGGGTATAAAAAACATGTCTCTTCATTGTATGAGGTTCCCAGAAGCACTTTCAAGACCGCCACGCCCACCCACTCTCACCCACACAGGACATGATAACGGACTGGGATACAGCTAGCAACAGACACACACATGGATACAGTCACAGGCATGCAATATACGTGTGTATGGCTAACTCTCCATTGTAACTTCCAGTCCCATTCTTTTTCCTGTGCTTCAGCTGGTCCCATCCTAAATCCTCAACTGCTGGTTCAGTATTTTCATTTGCCTATTCCCCTGATATTTCAAGTTAAGCAGATTCATTTCAAACTCAACCAACAGAGCACTGATCCCAATATGGTTGCCAGTTCTAACTTCACATCTATTTTAAGAAAAAGGTACCACCACTCCCTTCTTAATATCTCACTTTCTCTCTCTCTTCTTCCTCAATTAAGCATAAATTGCTGATTTCCTTCAAAATAGCTTTCAAATCTATCTCCTCCAATCTGTTCCCTCAACCACATCTTTTTATGTGTAAATGTCATTTCTCCTCAACTACAACATAAGTATCTTGAGAGTAAAGACCATATCCTATGTATCTTTTTACACTCTACAGCGCCTACCACAACAGCATTAAGAAATATCTGACTGGTCGGACATATGTCACACACACTCATATACCTCAAGTGAAGTTGCCCTCCCACCCCCCTACATTATTTGTTGTCATTCCCCCACGCCGCACCCACCCCCAACCCCCCCTCCTCACTGGAAGGCAAAGGTGCTGCCGTAGAGCTTCTTGGCGGTCCGGAACCGAGCCTCCTTGGCAGGAGGGCTGCTCAGCAGGAGGAACTGGTGTGAGGTGTGCATGAACTTCAGCTGCTGCCCAGGTTGGGGGTCGGGTCAGGAAAACAGAGAAGAAATGGAGATCAGGGAGGGAAGGGGTGGGGATGAGGAGCAAATCAGGCTTGCACTGACCCCAAATAAGGAGAATATGCTTAGGTCCAAAGACAACTGTTGATGGATAGAGCCAATGAGGCAAGTCTAGGATCAATGTGGTTAGCTGGTCTGGAGACCCTCCCTGTCCCTCACCAGAAATTTAAAGAATTTAGAAGAAGAATGGTCACTTACCCTGCTGAGAGGTAGTTTGACAATATGTGACCTGTTGCTAGAGATGATCCTAGCATAAAACAGAGAAGAAAGGAATGGACAGAATGAGTGTGTCATTAGACCATCCAGAACAAAGAAGCAGTCTTACTGTACCCCTGGGAGAACAAGCAAGGATTCCAGGGCTGTTGGAATTGTGTCAAATGTCCAGATCACTATCTAGATATTCCTGTTGGTGGTAACGCTTGTGTATAAAAGTGTAAAAGGGAAACTACTGACCAGAGTTACTGGGTAAACAATGAATAAAAGAAAAGAGACGGGTGAAAGGGAGACTGCTATGTCTAGGAACAGAAAAGGATAAAACAAAAGTGGGTGCCTAGGTGGCTCAGTCAGTTGAGCGTCTGACTTCAGCTCAGGCCATGATCTCATGGTCTGTGGATTTGAGTCCCACATCAGGCCCGCTACTATCAGTGCAGAGCCCACTTTGGATCTTCTGTCCCCCCTCCTCTCTCTGCCCCTCCCCTGTTCATGCTCTCACTCTCAAAAATAAATAAACATTAAGAAAAAAAAGGAAGAGCACGTAAGATCAGCTACAATAAATAAATAAGTAAGTAAGTAAATAAGAAAGCAGGGATCTGCATTAGCATGGTGACAACTTATACTTGGGATTTAGAAACACACAACTGGGACTCAGAGGAATCTTTCAGGGCTCTCAAGGATGGGGAGGGACGGAGAGAAAGTTACTGTTTGGGCTGGAGAAAGAAACAGATGAAACTACAACAACCTTCCCTAGGATTCAAGGATAGACTGGGCTGTGTTTTGGCTGAACTCAGAGGATAGGAGAGAACAAAGGCGTAAAGCATTGAGAGCTCAACATGGGAGCATTATCTCATATAGTGGATACAGTTTTGTTTTGTTGTTGTTGTTGTTTTTTGTGCTTCACCCATTTACTTGTGATGCCATCCTGGATACTCTATGCCTGGTCATTCCTGATGCTAAGAGGGAGCATGTTGTATTGAAAAAGTACTGATGTCAATGGCTGACTAGGAAAAGAAGGGAAAGCTATGTCAGGAAAACAACAGCAATCAAGATTGGGGAAGGAGGGCAGAGGGTGGAGGGCAGTAGAGAATGTTCAGAATCTTTGTTTGAAGGGAATAATAATAGTGCCTCAAGGCTCTGGACAGTGTACATCAACAGGGTAGGCCTTGAGACAGGGATAGGGAGCAGAAGGGGGAGACAAACCTCTCTGTATGCACAGAAAACTTAGTTGAAACAGTATTAACTCCTACATGCAAAGGGTACTTAAAGACCTATTGGGAAACAAGAAACACCTAGAGAGAATCTGAGACATTGTGTCTGAATTTGTGAGCTCCCGCTAAGCTGAGTTCTTATCAAGGCAAAGTATATCAATAAAACCCCAAGAAAAAACAGCCAGAATCTCTATAACCTCAGGAAGGATGCTGGAAGCGGCTCTAAAAGAAGTTGTAGGTTCCATGACTAATTCCATATCCCCCAGCACCCCCACCCCCAATCCCTGAAGGACAAACCATTCTATTCACATTACTTACCACTGCAAGAGAGGATGGGCCAAGGGATCCAGCTTGTCCATCTGCTTCTTGATTTCTAGATATGAGCCCTGTTAAGACAAAGGTCATAAAGTTACCTCCCAGGAGAGGTGAGAGCCCTCCCACTTTTGACAGACTAATCAGGGCCCAGGGCAAGGCAGGCACTGAAGGCCACACAAAGGCAAGAGGAGATAGGGTTCCCACCCTTAAGGAGCCCAGTCAGATTGGGAAGACTCATAAATAAATATGAAAATGACTGAAAATGCTTACAAAACAACATGCAGGTGGGTCTCCCTCATTTTACGCAATTCCTACAACTCTAAAAAGTTGACTTTAAATAAAAAATAAATAAAATCAATGTCCCAGAAAGATTAGGCTAAGGAATCCTGTGGTAAAACTTTACATAAAGCAAAGAGTCCTTCTGACAGTAAATCATCCCTCCTAGGTATATCTTATGTGTTAATCTGAACTGTGATATATAGGATTTGCTGAGAAGAGGCCCACCTGTAAATGTGAGTACAAATGAATGTCTATTCATGCAGAGATTGCAGACGAGGGGTGGGGAAGTCTGGTGAGGGGCAGCCTTGAGTCAAAGGATGGTCACTGCTCCATGTTGCTGCCCCACCCCTAGAAGGACAGAAGATGTAGGCCCCTGGGGCTAGTTCCTTACATCCAAGCCCCCTCCTCGCCCTCCCAACCCTGGGCAGAAGTCTTTCCCTCACTTCTCTAATTCCCTAAGAATTATGGGGAAAACATTAAATATGAACAACTTGTGAAGGAATTGGCAGCAAAGGTAAAAGTTGAGAGAGACATCCGGAGTGAAAAAGAGAGTAACAGAGAACAAGGATTGGGAAGGCTGAAGAGGGAAGACTAAAGAAAACTCAGTGAGGAATCTGAATAGCATTTCTAAATCTCCATTCCACTCCTATGGATTCCAAGCACAACAGGGCACTTAAGCAGGACAGGCAGAGGGCAGAATACCTGGGTCATCTCCCGGATGGACATCACACTATCCAGAGCTTTTTGAAGTCGCTCATAATTCTTCTTCTGTGGGGAATCAATGGGAAGAGAAGACCCAGATGAAGAAAAGTGGAGGAGAGTAAGATGTGATGAAAAGGAGGGCCAGATGTACAAAAGAGGTCTAGGCCCGAGGGAAACAGTATGGCATGTCATGGAAAGAACACAGATTTAATGTCAGACAGTTCTGGAATCACATGCTAGTTCTCTTTTACAGCTAGAAGTAATAAGGTAAGTTACTTAACCTCTTAGAACCTCAGTACCCTGTGTGTAAATGAAGATTAAAATTCCCACTACACTCAGAGATCATTCTGAGGACTAAATAACATACGTAAAGAACTAATATAGTGCCTGATACATAGCAATAAGAGTCATAGTGAGGCACTCTGCTAGGTACTTGTGATGGTTAATTTTGTCAATGGTTAATTGAGTTGATCTGATGGGTCATGGAGTACCTGAACATTTTGTCAAATATTACTCTTGGTGTGTCTGTGAGGGTGTTTCTACATGAGATTGACTTTTCTATCAGAATGAGTAAAGCAGATTGTGCTCCCCTCATTTGGGTGGGCCTCACTCAATCAACTGAAGGTCTGAAGAGAACGAAAAGGCCAAGTAAGAGGGAACTCCCTCTGCCTGACTGCTGGAGCTAGGGCACTGGTCTTTTCCGAACACTGGACTGGAACTGAGAAACCGGCTTTTGGGGGATCTCAAGACTGTCAGCTTTTGGATTGGAATTTATACCACTGGCTCTCCTGGGCCTCCAGTTTGCTAAATGCAGATCCTTGGGCTTCTCAGCCTTCATAACTACATGAACCACTTCTGTATGCTAAATCTCTTTCCATAGATATCTCCTACTGGTTCTGTTTCTCCGGAGAACCCTAGTACAATACTTTACATATGTTATTTCTCATTTTTATAACAATCTGCAAGGTAGATATTATCCCCTTTTAACAGATAAGGAAATTGTGGTACCAAAAGGTTAAGTGACTTTTCTTACACCATTCAGCTAGGGAATAGTAGAACCTCAAATGGAATCCAGGTCTGTCAGGCTCCAAAATCTATATTCTTCCCTAGTATAACATAATAATTCTTCTCCCCTCCTTCTAACAAACTCAGTTACTTGTTCACTAAAACAGCCACAGCTTAGGGTTTAAGAGTTCCCAAGAACCAAGTGCTCCATCCCTTCTGTCCCTCCTTCCAAGCTGTTATATACATGAGAATGGCAGCCCATAGTCTCCCACTCTCTTTTATTGTTTCTATTCCTTTTCTATTTCTATTCTGTTACTTTCTTCCCAAGCAACAATACCTTGGGGTTAAAGGCCAGAGTCTTGGGATCAGTGGGGTCCACCACAGAGGGATAAGGCTCAAAGATGATGCTCTTTCTAGGGGACTCCAAAGCTGCCCTACACATGGCCACCAGCAGATCCACCACCTTAGGCGAAAGGAGAGAAAGGAGGCAGAAGCTAAAGGGTTTCCCAGTGCTGGGAGTCACATGGTATCCAGCATAGGTCTGTCCACCTGTTGGAGGCTCTCAGCATTCTCTCTGCTGTTCTTTTTAATAGCAAACACGTTTATGTTTTTTTCATTTGAAAATACAGGCGGTTCATAAAAATTCAAGTAACGATGATTTAAAAAATGACTAAGAAAAAGATAAAAATCATCCCATTGCCCCCAAACAAATCTCATTCCTCACAGGTACTACTGCTAAGTCTGAGGTCTACCCTTGCAGATAATTTTTCCTATGGAAATAGTTATCTTATTAAATAGGCAATTAAAAAAAAAGAACTATACTGCACATACTGTTGTCTTTTCTTTTTTATATATGTTATAATTTTCTACCCATAAATAATAGCTGTATGGTATTTCCACTGTAAGGACATACCATGATTTCTTTAACTGAATCCCCATAGATGGAATCATATCGATTCTTTTTTCGCTATTACAAACAACAGTATTGTGCACACCCTTACATATGAAAGCATTTCTGGAGGTTAAACTGCCAAGGAGTGACATTGCTAGGTCCCCTCGCCTTTCTTGATGCCAGCTCCCCAGCAGCTTTTCCCTCTCCCATACCTCTGCTCCAGTAGCAACCTCCTCTGCAGCTCCGGACATGACTCCCAATGTGTAGAAGGAGAAAACACACAGCTCACGAGTACAGACGGCTGGCTGAACAGACATATTAAACAGAGAACAGTGGCACAGGGTGTGCAATAAGAAGGTGTCATAGGGAGACAAGGACAAATCTGACCTTAGACAACTCTAGAACCAGGTAGGAATTTGGGGCCCTCTATATCATGAAAAAACTATAAATTAGTCTTAATTAAAAAGCCTTACTTGTAAGATTCACAGTTAATGCTGTCTCCTCTCTGAAGCCTTCCATGACTTCCCTAGGTAGTTAGATGCTCTCTCTTGTGAGTTTCCACAGCACTGCTCATATCTCTTCTACACACTGACAGTGCAGTGTCTGTCCACCCACCTAGACTTGGGAGTCCTTGAGGACAGCTTCATATGCAATCATCTTGACCAATATCTCAATATCTGATCCCTATTTTTAAATTTTGGGTGGGGATTATATCTGCAATAATATTCATACATCCTTGGGGTTCCTGAGTGGCTCAGTTGGTTGAGCGTCTTACTCATCATTGATTTCAGCTCAGGTCACGATCTTGCGGTTCACGGGATTGAACCCCACATCAGCCTTGCACTGATAGCACAGAGACTTCTTGGGATTCTCCCTCCCTCTCTCTCTCTGCACCTCCCCTGCTCTCTTTTTCTCTCAAAATAAATAAATAAATAAATAAATATTTTTTAAAAAGGACCACTGGGGAAGTGATAATAAATATTAAAAAAAAATTTACATAGCCTCATATTTCAAAACAGGACTGCAGAGATTTGTTTTCTGAGGCAAAATAATTACTTCTAGAGTCTCAAGAATTACGGACAAAATTCTACCTTTACCATAGACCCAGGAAGAAAGGAATAAAAGAAAGATGAGGATTGAAAGCCTTGACTAAGGGTCTAAGGAAGAGGGTCACAGATTAGGACACATACCTTGAGCATGGACCCATTCTGGAAGACATGCTGCTCATCACACACCACGCAGTACTCATTCAACGTTGGAATCCTCTGCTCTGCATACTTCATGATCTGGGAAGAGAAGACATTGTTACTAAGTCTTTTTGGAAGTGCAGACACAGATATGGGAAGCAATTTGAGCTTCTTTTCCAACTACTCTCTCCTCTCCCAGCCCTGTGCGTAAGGCAGACCTATTCTTGGGCCCTGCACTTAGTTTAACTGAGGGCCTAAATCTAGAGCTACAGCTATATATTATAGTAAAAATAAGACCAACCATGGTAGAAGACCTGAGTTAAGATCCTGTCCCCTCCCCCCCCGACCCCCGCCACACTATTTAATAGCATATATAACTTTGGGCAAATTGGTTAACCTGAGCCTTGGTTTCTTCATTTATAAAGTGATATTATTCACCTCATAGAGGAACTGAGATTACTGAGAAAATTTTCATGAAAGTGTTTTATAAATATTAACATGTACTAACCGAACTATTAACCTTAGTTGTAGTAATTAAGACTGTCCCATGGTCACATGGCAGGGGGCCTAAGAAGCCATTTCAACTACCCAGAACAATCAGCTTATCCACTGGTCAAAGCCACAGATACAACTCTTGTGCTGGGAAGAAAGCAAAAATCTAGAGCTCATATGGCAATACGCTAAATAATTTTTTAAAACACTCTATCTAGGGGCACCTGGCTGACTCCATTGGACACATGACTCTTGATCTTGGGGTCATAAGTTCAAGCCCCACGTTGGGTACAGAGCCTAGTTTAAAAAAAAAAAAAAAGAAAAGCAAACTAAAAACAATAACAACAAAACCACGCTCTGCCTTAACATGACTTTTCAACCAGGTACGCTTTTGTATAAATCAAGTTCTTCCCATTTCACATACTTTTGGGCCGGTAAAGGAACATGTAAGGGCTTTTATTCACTCAGGTGTACTGAATGCCTACTATGTACCCAGTTTGGTGAATGGTCTCCTTGATTATGAGGTAACATAAAAAGATTGTCTTCTCAGACCCTAAACGTCAACAAGGGAGATGTGGCATGTATACAAATTAATTACAATTCAAGGCAGCATATGGTACACTGCACATAGATGTCATATAAAACAAAAAGCATCTTAAGAGTTCAGTGAGAGGAAATATCACTTCCAGCTAATACGGTTGGAGAAGAATCTTATGGCTAAGGTACCAATGAGCCTTCACTGCACCAGGCAGATATGGGGAGGAAGGCCCGTGGGGGAATGCTATGAACAAAGACAATTAAGATGCAAAAATGAAAGAAAGCAGGTCCAGGGAATACAGAGGTTTTAAAAGGAAATCACCTAATAGTAGCTGAGCAGTGGAAGAGGTCTAGGGAAAACTGAAGACCACTTGAGCAAGGATGTTGGGGATCATAAGGAAATCAGTGCTAATCCCTCTCCTATCTTGACATCTATGCACTTAAAATCATTTGATCGACATGGTCTGCAAGTGTTGTCTTCCCAATAATGCTGTAAGCTTCTTGAGGATGGGAACTGTGCCTTCTTTTCTCCTATCTACACAATACATAGTACAGTTCTGGGAGCAGAGCAACTCAGGAAATATTTGTTAGCTGACTGAGGAGCTGGGAGATGTTAGGGGATCAGATGGGTCAGACAACAAGGGAATGGCTTAGGAATGAAGCTTTGAACTCAATTACCTGGACAAGAAATCCATATTCCAGAGTAGGGATATTCTTGCAGTGACCACTGACCTGATGAGTGAAAAGACAAAATTTATGAGCCTCCTATGAAGCAGGTACCTAGACAGACTTCACACTCATCACCTGAGATTCTCCTGAAGTAGCTACACCCTAGCTCTGATTAGCCTCAATAATCCCAAAATTGAAGAGAAGACCTTTAAAAATTTTTGCCAAAGGTTCTTGAAAAGGGCTCACCTGTCCTTAACCTTTTTCAAAGTAGGTGGACAGGCTAATACAGCAGCTGATGACCAAGTCCTAACCACAACCTAATAAAATCACACATGACATCTTAAGATGCCCAAGCCCAGACTCCCTGCTTCATGGCTTACAATCAAAGAAGCTTGACAGACAGTTTAGATGTTTTCAGCTTTTAAAAAATGTTCTCCATTCCACCCATTCATGGTAGAGTGACCAAGTTTGATTTAGGATGCCTGAAAAACCATAGTCTCACCTCACCTTGAGAAGCTATACTCCCACGTTTCCATTCCCACCCTCCTAACACCCAAGTCAAACCCTCCCCAGCCCATGTACCAAAGGAGAGGTCCGTGCTGGGGGAGGGAGGCCCACGTGCTGGGGGCACAGGAGACCTGCCTGGGGGCTGGGAGGGTAGCCAAACACCTCCACTTTGGGGTTCTTCATGGTGCAGGAGATAGAACGGTTCATGAGGCGCCCAACTCGAAGCTCGGGTACACCCAGTTTGCCTTTCAGCATGGAGTCCTGTATGATCGGGAAACTGGGAGACCTGGACAGAGAGCAAAGGGAAGTGATAAAACTGGGATTCAGTATGAGCCCTAGAAGAACACTGGAGATAAGTGCGTCCTAAGCCAGAATGGGTGAAGGGACCTACCTAAGCCAAAGAAGAACTCTTATCTGAGGGAAGTTACACCGGATCTTAAACACTTTCTTTTTAAATGTTTATTTATTTTTAAGATTTTAAGAGAGACAGAGTGTGAGTGGAGGAGGGGCAGAGAGAAAAAGGGAGACACAAAACCTGAAGCAGGCTCCAGGCACCCACGAACTGTGAGGTCATGACCTGTGCCAAAGTCAGACGCTTAACTGACTGAGCCACCCAGGTGCCCCAGATCTTAAACCCTTTTAAAACAAGTAAATCACAAACCTGAATTGATTTTTATGTCATTATTTGTGTGTTCTTCAGATTGGAACATGGGAGGACAGGCAGAGGCAAAGTCTCAGTCAATCTCTACAGCAGCTAGGCCAGGTAGGGAATGTTCCCCTGGACAGGATGCCTGTTTAATTTACTCAGTGTGTGTATGTGCGTGGCGTGTGCATGTTTATATACACATGAAAAGTGCTGAGTACTGTACTAAGCAATAAGTAGTTGCAACCCAAAAAAGCCTGATGTCTGTCTGTCAACCATAGTGCCTGGGAAACTATAAATCTGGGTTTGTATTTGCCTTTGGGAAGATCAGAAGGCACCAGGGTGGACAATGTAGGCCTGGAGACAGAGAATGGACAGTATTTATTTCCAAAAGTTAGATAATCAATCAGTGTGCCCTTTCATGAGAGAAAGGAGTTGGTACCTATTCTCAGACTCTGCCTTCTTAGTAGAGGGCATAATGATGAGATTCAAAGAAAGAAAAGACAAAAAATTAGCATACATTTCTGCAAAAACATACCATGAGCTAGGTACTGTGTTTTACATGAAGGACAAGGTATGAATACTGGTGTCAGAAGTACAAAGATAAAGACACCTAGGGGACAAGACTATGTAGGTCGGTGTTAATAGTTAAAGGTGCAGAATCAGAGGACCTTGGGAGAGGGCAAATAGATTAGTGTAAGTAATCAAGAAGGTGGGGTGGGAGCTCAGACAAGACTAAGGTCATTGGAGATTATCTGCTCCTCGGGGAGCACTTACTTGGGGATGGGTGAGAAGATGCTGAGGCCAGCTCGGAACTTCTTGATGGTACCACTTGCCTTGAACCAACTGTGCCTCTTTTCTTGCTGGGTCTTCAAGAAATCGTTGCTGAGATGTTTCCATTGTTGGGATGTGAACATACCCAGGATCCTAAGGAATCAAAGACAACAGGCTTTACAAAACTCAGGCAGGGGAGTAGGTCAAGAAATAGAACTATGAAAAGCAACTAATCTAAAATTCAGACCCAGGGATGGTAAAACTAGCTGTGGTGGGGGAATGTGTGTCTGAAGACCTCACGATAATGACCTTAGCCCATGGAAATGTACTCTCCTGAAGAACCTCTTTACCTGAGGGGGTAAATACCTACTTCCATTACTTAATCTAATAGACCAGAACAATTCTGAGATGATTAGCCTTTAGTGGAAGGCTTGAAAGCTGAGCCTTCAACGGCCATGAATCTGGGAATTTATTGCCAAGAATGACTATACTGAGAGTGGAAAGGGGTAGTGGGATGCAATTGGATACCACCCTCTACCTTGTGAATAGTGAAGAAAAGAGTAGGGACATGAGGGGTACTGACATTGTTAGCAAAAAAATTACATCCCCAAACTTATGGCTTCCAATTTGAGCTGGGCCCTCCACTAGCCTTGCCAACCCTTTCATGTGTCTTTGATGAGTTCTCTCTGGCATTACTCTTAAGCTATTATTCCAAATCCTTACTGCCTTCATCAACCTCCTAACTTCACCTATGGCTGAGAATCTCTTCCTTCTTAACAGAGAAAACTGAAGCCATCAGTTACCAGCTCCCTTAATTTTCCAACCCTACTACAAAATCTATTTCTATTTCTACTCTTACCTCAATCCCTCCATTCTCTGAAAACAAGATGACCCTTCTATTAATATCTCTATTTGTGTTCTAGATCTCAGTCCCTTCTTGCCTCTTTAGGGATCTTGATCCATTAATCATATCCCTCTCCTATCAGTTCCTTTCCTAAAGTCTACAGAAGTTTCAACTTCCTATACCTTGATCTAGCTGCATTTCCTTCCCCTCCAATCCTCACTTAAATGTCTCAGTCCACACTTACTATATCTACTTCATTACCAACCACTCACTTCTCAAGTCACTGTATTCTTGTTTCTACCTTCACTTCTTCACGATGATTGCTCTTGCCTCCATGCTAAATCTAACAAAAACTCTAAGTTCTCTTACTTATCCTCTCCGGCATCTGGCCCTCCTTGTCTCCTCCTTGCCTTCTGAGACACCATTCTCTTCCTATTCTTCTCCAACTTTTCTGACCTACCTTCAATGTTTCTTCTTTCTCTGACCACCCTGCTGGTTTCTTGGGTATTTTGTCTGGATGCTAAAGGGTGTTTTGCCTTTGATCTTATTTTCTTTTCCATGTTCTCCCTCAGCAATTTCGTACTCTAAACTGGTTGTAATTTCCATCCATACACTAAATATATTTTCAACCCTAACCTCTGTTACGTATCTATGTACTGAGTACCTCCACTTGAATATCCCAAGGCTACCTTTAAACATGCTTAAAATGAAACTAATTATCTATCCTTATCGCATAAACCTGTTCCTCCCCTATTTAAATTAGTGGTGTTACAATTTACCCAGACATCTAAGCTGGAAACCTAAGAGTAATTTTCTACTATTCTTTGGCTCTTATGACTACACACGACATATCTGAATCAATCTTCAAGTCTTACTGATTTTATACCCCACAAATCTCTATAGTCCACCTTTCATCTCTATTCTCACCTATAATCACACTTTGGCTCAGGCCCTCATCATCTCATGTCTGGATGTCTACAAAAACCTCCTAGACTTTTGGGTCTCTTGTCTCACCCCCTCCTACCTATTTTACACAGTGCTACTGGAATCATTTCTCTAAAACTCAGTCTGACCATGGCCTCTCTTTGCCTAAAACCCTTCAATGCTCCCACTGCCTAGAAAATAAAAGGCCAAGATCCTCTCTGATTTGGACCCCTTCCTACTTCTCTGACTTCAATTCCTACACTCTCCCCTTGTATTTTCCTAGCAATATTTAACTACTTGAAGCTTCCTACACACAGGCTGCTTCACCTGACTGTGCCCTTGCAAATGTTATTCATGCTCAGAATCTGTCTGCATGGGCAACTCTTACCCATCCTTGAAAAGATGAATCATCTTCCTTTCATTCATTCACTCATAGCCCTCCACCCGCCACCAGACTGAGTCATTCCTTCCTCTACATTCTTTCTAAACCTTATATATTCACTTGTATTAGAACATGTATCCAATGGACTCTATTTGGAACTTCACTGAGTGTAGAATCTGTAATTCATTTATTTCTCTTTGTATACCAAGGCACTCAACATATTTCATAAACTATCTAAGCTCTTAGAGCCCCACACTGAGAAAACCACAAGAGAAAATATGAAGATCAAGACCTTAACTCCAGAGTTGTACTTTTCCTTAAATGGTAAGTACTGATGAGCCCCCTCTCACCTCCAGAAGCCTCAAGGCCAGACACCCCAGAACCAGAGGCTCTTCCACCTAACCATAAATTTGGCTTTCCAAATTTATTTTAGTCTTTCTTAGGCCCATCTCAGAAAGATATTTTGGGGAGGAAACACTGCGTCCAAGGGTCTGCCTGTCCATCTGTATGTCCGTCTCTTTCCCTCATATGTCCATAACCAGAAAGATCAAAGTTCTTACTTTTTCAGCTGAAGACCCAGCCCAAACCCTTCCTTATTCGATGGCTGGAAAACCTCAATTGACGGTTCTGCAAAGAGAAGAAAAAGCTCCTAGTATGTACATATCTCTATTTTCCTGGGAGTCCAAAGCCCCAATTCAGTGGATGAGCTTCCTCAGATTCTAAGGGTACTCTAAACAATAGTGATGGAGAAAGAAAACATCTGAAGCAGAGAGTAGATTCTGGGAGCTGTCTGACCCATTTCAAATCACTTCAACTTCTATGAGGACGTTGAAGGGAAGGGAAGGAATAAATAATATCTGGGACCAGAGAAAACAATTTCATTAACCAAGAAGGCCTTTAGGGGATGGCTATCAGGTGACAGGGAATGCATGAATGACAGCAAACTGAAAAGCCCCCACCAATGGCCTGCAGTATATACCCAAGAACCTTATTCTAGCTTTTCTCTGGCTCAGTTAACTTAGGACTTTGGATTAGACCACACTTAGAGCACCTACTTGCCCAAAGTCACTGCCTTTACCTGGTCCATCAAGGTACTGGGAAAGAGAAAATCGCAGCCTCAACACAATAGGTTCTGTTCGGAGGACTTTCCAGGCTGTAGAGACTTCCTCCTAAAAGAGTAAGGGAGAGTTTCCAGTTTAGCAACAGAGAGGAATGGACTTGGAAGTTTTCCCTATATGACACACGCATGCACATGACAGTACACACCACTGTCTGCTGATGGTCTAGGAAAGACAGGGATGAAGAATATGTGCTCCAAATGCAGCACTCAGGAACAAGACTCCTGGCCTACATGACAAAATCCACAAGTCCAGCTAGACATGTTGTTGGCAGGTACTAGCACCACTTACATCGAGGAAGCTGATGTTGATGTGGAGGTCAATGTCCACGTCATCGATAGTTCCATATTCTCTACAGAGATACAGGTGAGATTCATTAAGGGAGAAAGAAGGGAACAGAGACTGAGGTGGAGGGAGAACTGAGCCTGGGGCCAGGGGAGAGGGAAGAGTGGGAAGTAGCTCTGTATCTAGACTTAGCTGCAGCCTCAAGCCACTTACATGATCAGGGCTTTCTCCAGGCCAGAAGCCTTTCTTACCTCAAAGATGAAACTATCAGCCTAGAGGGATCTAGGATAGAGGAAACTGCTGAAAAAAGTGGCTATACTTCCCCACTCACCACTGTCAGCTAAGCTTAAGTATTCTGAGAAATTCCCACTACCTATCACTAAGCTCATAATTTATCCATGTCCACAGACCCCCTATTATACCCTAAAAAGAAAAAACCTTTAGCCTCTTAACAGCTCAGAAAGAAGTGGCTTGCTCCTGAAGTGGGGTCCCACCTGATGGATACAGAGTTCTCACTGTAGATCTCCTTCACGGCTTCAATGTCTGCATCAAGCTGTGGGTGTCGATATAGGTCAGCCGCACAGCTCCCCTGAGTCAGCAGCAAAAAATGGTGGGGAGGTTTGGGAGGAGGGAAAATAGAGGGGGAAAGAGAGACATGAAAAATAAAAAGAACATGAACACCAGGAACAGGAAAATCAAATGGCAGCAGTACATATAAGCACAAGGCTGCTCTTATGAAGGAGCTCTTGATGGTGGCCCTAGCCACCAATCTTTGGCCACAAGTATCCCTCCATCTCCACTCTAGTAAGCTTCTATGAACCAATTGCAGGCTTTGCTCAATGAGTACACAGCCTTAAGTTTCCAGCTCTTCCTCTCAGACCCTGACCAGGGATACTTAGGTATCCCTTCTAGAACTCAGAACAGGCTGAAGAGTACAGAATTTAACTCAGATGGTTCTGTGCAAAGAATCCAACATTCCTGCTCAGGACTGTGCCCTGGGGAGTGATGGCATGAAGCAATCACTGGCAGGATATCTTTTAAAAATTTGACCTTGATGAATGAAATGACAGCTACTGGCTGGTGAAGAGTCAAAAAAAAAAATCACTATTTCTAACCAAGAACACATGGGGTAGCCTCCACGTACAGAGAATGTAGTTTACTCTGGGAAAGGAATGAGCTCCAGGTAAGAGCAAGAATATGAAATCAGCTCTGGCAAGACAATGCTCAGACTGCACCAACATCATATCCTCATCTTATGTCTGCTCCAGAATAATCTTTCACTACTTGGTAAATTCAGAGAAGCACACATTTACACTATCCAACATGGGTCTTAGGGGCTGTAATCTCACCTGAACTCCATAGAGAAATTCCTCTGATTCATTATCTCCCTCCGAATCATCATCATTCCAGAACTGGCCTTTGATGTCCTAGCGATGAAAAACAAGGATACAACCCTTTGCTGGATCCCTATTATCCCATGGAGCAGGAGGGCGATAGGATACAAAATAGATTCCCACAAATAATGAGGTCCTTTGGGATAGAACAACTGAGACCCTATTCCCTATACTCCCTTCACCTCACTCTTCTGGAGCATTTCAGTCTCTTCCTGAATCTGGTCATATCCATGGCCTACCTCTGACCTTGGGAGGGATGGAGGAAAACAGGGCACTGGAATTTTGGCCCTCTTGATTGAGGCTCTGGTAGCCAGGGGTGTAGGGATGCAGACTTCAACATCAATGTTGGTTCCTGGGCATATCTAGGTCCTAGCACAAGTTGGCCTCTTCTAGATCATTACCCCAAAGCAGCTCCCATGCATACCTAAGCTCTTTTATTACTCCCTTCCTCTTATTTAACTCCCCTTCCTTCCCAAGAAGAAAATCCACCTGTACACACACCAAGTAATACTGTCTCCATGCTCCTTCTCCTTCTTTCAACTTCAGATAACCACTCTACCTTTCAAAAGGGTGGGAGGGAGAATAACAGGAAAAGGTGTCCCATCTATCCCCTGGATGACCAGTCAGAGAGGTGGGAAGTCAGTTCTCACCATTGGGTCAGTGGGTCACACACAATCCCAGGTCAGTGCTAGGCAGCACCCCTCCATACCACCAGCTGAACCCAGGCCAATGGGATGGGCATTTAGGAGGCCACAGAGGGAGACAAGGGAGGGGGTGATGTCAGGGGCTGACTGTAGATCTGCTGGGGATGGCAGGCTCTGCTGTTGTGGTGATAACAAGTCACTGTCCTGTGGAAAGTAGACAACAGTTGGTTTCATCACCACTTAATAGCTAGATGGTATTTACACAGGCACACATGTTTATGGATACACTTTTATTAGACAAATATACAGACACTTACACATAGAAACATACTTGCATGCACGTACACATACTTATACACATAGTTTTTTAAAGATAATGAACCATGAAAGCACTATACAAACATGAGACACTACTGTTCCATTTAAGCTTGAGAGTTGGGATTGGAGCAAGTCCCTGCTCTAGATCATAATGCATATCAACCCCTGAAGCCAAAAGTGATGGTGACAGGAAAAGACGTTACCTACTTTGTCTAGTTAGTTCATTTTGGAAAATTCTTCATAGTACCAACCCCCATTAGAATCAAGATTCTTTTAGAAATCTTTACCCCTATTTATTCAAACTGAATCATCATCTCTTATTAAATATCAACATCCCTAGACACCTTTACATGACAATCAAAGCTAACTTAAAAAGCCCTCAACAACACTGAATATCCCCTGGTAGACATGGTCTGAGTGGTCTCATCTTGGAACCTATTCCCCAAATAAAAATGCAATAATGATCTGAATAAACAGTCAGAAACACACTAACCCCTAGGCTTTCGCAAAATTAAGAACCACTGTCTAGGCCTTCCTGGCACTGCACGTGTATCTGTCTCACCTACTCCAACTTTACGCAGAGGTGTTCTTGGTCTCTAATACGGTTCTACTGAACCTTAGGTTTGAAGATCACAGTGGGCTTAGGGATCTGTAACATCAGTATCACCTGGGAACTTGTTTAAAATGTAAATTCTCAGACCCTAAGACCTACTGAATTAGAAACTCCAGAGATGGGGTCCAGTAATCTGTGTTTTAACAAGCCCTTTGTTATGCTGATACATGATAAAATTTGAGAACCACTGCTCTAAATCCTTGTGTACTCTAGGGGCCTGTGGTCTGTTCCTCAAATACCAACTTAAGCCTGGTAACTGATCCAGGATGGGGACATATGGCACAATGCCAGTACACACACCATAGCTGTCCTCTCATTGACAGCACTGCCTCACTCATTAAAAATATGCAAAAGAAAACTGCAATTAAAGTTCTTAGAGATAAAATGGCCTGATACCTGAGATTTACTTTAAAATACTACTCCAG